GGTTGATGACCAAGACGCGAGCTCTCTGGGTACTACATTGTTGCGATAAAACGTTCGCTGTAGTCTCGCAACCAGGTTTGTTCAGAACAATTGTTAAAATGCACCCATCCTTTGCATCCATCGCACTGAGACAGGTATTTTGTGGTGGATGATGTTTTGACGAACCGGGGTTTTCTTCCCGATACGAAAAGAATCAAAAATAGACGCACCAGGATATGCTGCTTCCAAAGCTAAAACAAAAAAAATAACACGAACATAAATTCGCTGGGGTGGCAGCCGCTGTTGTTGCGAATCAATCTGGTATCGTGAAAACCCTCCTTTTGGATCCCCAAAATATACACACCAGGATATGCTGCTCCCAAAGCAAAAAAAAAAAATAAACACATACAGACATTCACTGAGGTGGCATCCGCTGTTGTTGCAGATCAATCCGGCATCGTAGAACTTACCGCCGTATGATTGAAAGCCTCCTGTTGGATCCACTAATCTGTCCAAGGCGTTTTATTTAATTCACAGCTACCTAATATGTATTTTGCGCTCTCCACTATCCGAAATTGGTGGTCGCTTTTGCGATCTGACTTTCGTTCTCATTCAAAGCACACGTTTTCGACATTTATTTGTATAACTTTTTTTAGAAACAAAGATAACAGCGCATTTGTATTATATACAATGAGAGTGAGTATCTAAATATAAAAAAATATATACTTTCAACTTCTAGTTCTGGTAGGCACCTCCTTTATTCCTTTGCTTCTTTGCCAGCATACTTCTCATTATACTGCTTGTGCCAGTCGAGATTTTGTTTGGTAACCGATTCACCACGCTTGGCGGCCTCCTTGCCACTGTAAACCATAATGCCGCAGCCGATAACGGTCAGGGCCATCATAATGTTGGCCAAACGAATACGAATTGTGTTGCGGCAACGTTCCATGACATCGCGACTGGAAGAGGTAAGAAAATGGAAAAATTAAAATCTGAGGTTATTTTTCGAGAAGCAGAGACTATTGAAGTTTGAGAAATGGAAAACCGCAAACCATGCCCATGGAGCTAATACCAAATTTTCGGAAATGAAGGAGAAAATTAAAGAAGTATTCTTCCCATAGACTTGTCATGATCAGGAGCTCTCTCTAGGTAGGTTGCAATGAATCTTTTTTCAACTTCCTAGCCACGATATAATCTATATGATCAATAGTTATTTTTCTCTTTCGAGATTTGTTACTGTGCCTGGCCTATAAATACAGGGTGAGATAAAAAAAACTGCAACCAACTACAGACTGCTGTCATTTCTAAGCCACTCGTCCGACAGCTGTTAAAATTATTCCAGTGACAGCTCATTTTATTGTTTACAATCGTACAAAAGCATTTGCGTGAGAATTTTCCCGGAAAAAAGTTATTCGTGATGAAAATCAAGCGTAATAGTGTGATTTCTTTATATTTGGCTGGAAAACCACAAGTGGCTATCGTTAGAGCACTCCAGCATTTAAATGTCAATAAATCTTTTGTGTCTCGTACCATCGCTCGTTACCGTGATACTGGTAGCGTAGCCCGACGTCAAGGAAGTGGACCGAAGAAGAAAACAGCAACATCAGCAGAAATGGTTAGAAAATTAAAGAAGCGACTTGATCGAAACCCGCATCGCAGTGGCCGAAAAATGGCTCGTGAGCTGAACACATCGCAATATTCCATTTGGCAACTATTGAAAAATGAGCTCGGGCTAAAGCCATTGAAATTCCAAAAAGTGCAAGAACTTCCACCGCAACAGAAAGAAAATAAAGTCAAAAGATCTAAAGAGGCCACCAGGCGCTTGAGTTCTGGCTATGGTGATGGTGTGGGCCGCCATAACAACCGATGGTCGCTTTCCGCTCGTATTAATCGACCGTGACATAAGAATAAATGCCTAATATTAACGCGAAAATATTCTGGAGGGTGTATTAAAGCCTTGGGCACGCAAACATTTTGGCTGCAGACCTTGGACATTCCAACTGGAATCAGCACCATCGCACTCAGCACGCGCCACCCAAGAAAGGGGTTCCTCACTTCATTTCCAACGCACAATGGCCACCAAAATCTTCGGATACCAATCCGTCGAACTATTGTGTCTGGAGTATTTTTGGAAGGCAAGGTTGACACTAAAAAATACCAAAGTGTCGATCACCTCAAGCAAGCGCTTCGCCGGGAATGAGTCAAAATGCCGCAGAGCAACATTCGGGTGACGGTGTCATTGACCGTTTGAAGGCCACAATTCGTGCCCAAGGTCACCAAATCTAAACTTATTCTAAAATTTGATGCTATTTCTGAAAATTTTGGCTATCATTCAATGAAATTTAAAAAAAAAATGTAAAAATTATGGCATTTGACTTTGTTGCAGTTTTTTTTATCTCACCCTGAAAATGTATCTAATTTCCGTATGACCTCTTCCATCGGACTTTCTTTAAAGTGGGCTTAGCTGGAAACCCCAACAAGAGAATTGTGGGTACATGCCAACTTTGTGTGATTATGTTTCAGACTTCTCTTGACTTCCTGTGTGGAAAAATAAGACTCATTAATATCAAGGTCTTCGCTGGGATGACTGGATTGGTCTATACGAATAGGTACTCTATCTGAAGGTTCACCTTATGAAGATATTCTTTGTATCTCCTTGTGATCGATACCGCTTCCCGACCGCTAAGGCTCTTATGGAAACTTATGATTGGACTATCCTGGTATTGAAACGACTTTTCGTGCTAGAAATGGTGTGCGACAAAAGATTTGCAATGACATTTCTCTGGAAGTCTGAAAATATCGAATTTGAGCAAGGAACAGCATCGAGGAGGCTGGATTCTTGTTCTACGAAAATATGAAATGAAAATACTCCATAAATCTTTTCAAAGTTCATCTTAGGATGATATTCTTTGTCTGTTCTTGTGATCGATACGGTTTCCCGACCGCTAAGACTCTTTTAGAAACTTATGATTAGACTACCCTGGTATTGAAGCGACTTTTTTGTGCTAGAAATGGTGTCCGACACAAGATTTGAAATGATATTTCTCTGGAAGTCTGATTATATCGAGTTTGAGTAAGGAATAGCAACGACGAGGCTAGATTCCTGTTCTACGAAAATATGAAATGAAAAAACTCCATAAAGTTCACCTGAGGAAGATAGTCGTTTTACCTCTTTGTGATCGATACGGTTTCCCGACCGAAAGGCTGTTATAGAAACTTATGATTTTTGCATTCCATGGAATTGAAAATATATTGAATAGGCTTACCAACGACCTTGCCCTGGAACTCTGATTATATCGAGTTTGAGCAAGAAATGGCAGCGAGTAGGCTGGACTCTTTTCTGAAATCTTTTCTATTCAAATGAATGATCTTGATATTCGTTTCCTTTTTTCCATAGCCGATTCTCCAGTCAAGAGTTGCAAAATGAATCATATGCTTGCACGTTTCGGAACAGAGCTATTGTAATGTAATAACTTGTAAAGAGTATCAAATGTGTCGTTTTTGTAGCATAGTTTTAGGCTTGAGAAAAACAACTTCATAACGAAAAGCCATAGAGCATATCAAACAGATATGCTTAGGGAGTCGACCGTGATGCTTAAATAACAGGCGATTTTTATGCATTTTTGGGGCTCTTCCAAAAAAAGTAAATAATATCAAGATGTATTAGTTCATATCTATATTGAAAAAAAAACTGTGTTGAATTCTGTGGGCGCAATTTTATAGTAACACTGTAAGCCGAACGCTATCAAACCATCCTCGTGAATGTGGAACAACAAGTTTTGGCTACACTTTTTTATTTTTTTGTCGATTTTAATTTTTGTCTCACTTTGTGAATTAGATTGCAGCTTCATTGTGACCTAGGATATTCAAAGCAATTATTCTATAAAGCTCCATTGGCTGGCAATGATTAAATGATCTAATACACATTGCCAAAATAAAACAAGTATGTTGCCTTAATTGATACACGCGTCGACGTGATTCATGGATCTATCTTTCCCAACGCACGCAAGCACATATTAATCAAAATATAAGCCAACCAAAATGAAATGGAATATTCCATTGAAACAGCATACATATATATATACATAACAACTATGTTTATATACAATATGCAACATGTACATATGTATGCATGTAATTTGCACCTGTATCATGAAATTCTCAAAGCAAAATGGAACCTGTTTAAATAATAGCTATTACCGAATAACTGCCATTTTTTTAGCTTTTCTTGCAAATGTAAAACCTACCTTACGAAATTGGGAACCTCATCGACACTCTTGAATTTGCCGGTCCATACCAAGAAACGTTTTTCCAGACCATTGGGTTCGTGGTTATTGATACCCTGCTTAAGTTGTGGCGATGTGTTGAAACCACGGCCGCGTACCAAGGTGCGGGATACATTCAAGGCTTGACGCAACATCTAGGGAAAACAACAAAAAACATCATTATATGATGAAATAAGAAAAGACTACTTTATATATAGATATACTTTTGGAAATTCTTTACTCCTCCTGTGCCACTGACTACTGTGAAATTATACAACAAATAACAACAAAGTTTCGCTAACTCTCTCCCCACATCTTGGCTGTCAAAACAAAAAACAGTTGATTATGGCGCGGCTACTGGTAATGGCACACAATACGCCAGACGTTGGCGTTAGGTGTTGAAATTCAATTTAGAATAAGGTATAAGGGCTTCAATAAAACATTTGTTGAAATAAAAAATATATAAAAAACAATTACTACATTAAATAATAACAATATTATATAAAACACTTTAATTTATGAGAGAATAAGGAAAACAACTTAAGTTATACGCTTTGCGCTTTCATTCAAATCCTTGTTGACATCTACCCTCTTTGGCATATGACAAAAGTAAAAACAGGTGATTATGACGGTAATATATAATACCACACAATGAAAAGCGCCGGCGTTTGATGTCAACATAAGCGACGGATAGGATTTATGTTGCGCGGTAAAAACAAATACCGTTAATAGAATCAGAAAAAAGAGGGACTAAAACAAATTAAATACATATTAATTTATTTATATAAAACCCTTAAATCAAAAAATGCTATTAAAAAGAATAGCCCTCGTTACACGCTTTGCGCTTTCATTGAATCTCAACTAATATCGCCCTGTCAATTGTCACATAACTCATTTCTAGGTTAGGTTAGGATTGTTGCAATCTATTGTTTATTTTTCATTTAAAGTGTTATCAATTAAAATGTTAGCAAATCTTTTAAAATCTTTGACAAGTAAACCACAAGCCCGTTATACTTACGAACTTTGCAGACAATTATGCTCCCCGAGCAATAAAGAGCAGCAGTATGCCGATAAAAGTAAACGGGAAGAGGATGATGCCTTAAAGATTGAAGCCAATCTATTTGAACAGGCTTCCATCCGATATGAACCGGTAACGGCGGAAGAAGTTTTACGTAAAAACGTAAAACAAAAATTACTGAAAACCCACCAGGAGCAACATCCAAGTCCTAAATTTGTACAGAAAGCCCATAAGCAGTTTGTGAAAAAATCACGACAGGAACGTGAATCGAAATCCCGATTAATAGATGACAAAGAATTGGGTTTGGAGTATTTAAAATTAGATCTCAATGATCCAAGGCTGGGCACATTGATGATATCGGCGCGATCGAAGAAACGCCGTGACAAGGATGGGCAAATTGTCATAGAAGGCAGACGTTTGATCTTGGAAGCATTGGAATGCGGATTAAAGTTGAATGCAATTATTTTCAGTCAAAAAGAAGAATTGGTCGACATAAAGGAGCCACTGCAAAAAGCCTTGCAGCGAAATCCCCAGTGTAAAATCTACAAAGTACCACATCATGATTTAAAAACATGGTCCACTTTAACGACCCCACCTGGAGTTATGACCCTATTCCAAAGACCTTCACTGGAGTATATCGTAAGGAAATCTTCGGATAATTCGGATCCCCTGCCCTTGACGGTGGTTTGTGATAATATTCGTGAACCAAATAACTTGGGCAGCATTATTCGTACCTGTGCCGCGTTGCCATGCTTTCAGATTGTCGTGACAAAGGGCTGTTGTGATCCATGGGAATCGAAAGCTTTACGCGGTGGTTGTGGTGGCCATTTTCGTGTACCCATACGTGATGATGTTAGCTGGGAAAATGTACCGCTAATGATACCGCCCGAAATGGCGGAAAACTCCTGTGTATTTATAGCCGAAAACAATAAAGCCAAGTTAAGGGATAACAATGTGGATGCTATTGACTATTCACAGGTTGAGAAAACCGGAGCACATAATGTTGTGGTAATTGGCGGTGAAAGTCATGGTGTGAGCAGTGAAGCATACAGGTATTTTGGATAATATTTTTGTACCAAGATTTATAGATTTTTGTGGATAGTGTAAGAGATTTTCTTTGATCAAGTACTCCCTGATGTGTATTCTATGCATTGCGAAGTATTCTGTACAAAGAAGACTCCCAGGGAAGTACAGGATGAGATAAAAAAAAACTGTAACAAAGTCAAATGCCATAATTTTTAATTTTTTTTGTTAAGTTTTATTGAATGAAAGCAAAAAATGTCGGAGGAAATGGTATCAAATTTTAGAATAAGTTTAGATTTGTTGGAATTCGTCATCTTTGCCACGAATTATGGCCTTCAAACGGCCAATGAAACCGTCACACGCTGCCCGAATGTTGCTCTGCGGTATTTTGGCCTATTTCCGGCGAAGCGCTTGCTTGAGGTGATCGACACTTTGGTATTTTTTGCCTTCCAAAATACTCCAGACACAATAGTCCAACGGATTGGTATCCGGAGTATATTTTGGTGGCCATTGTGAGCTGGAAATGAAGCAGAAACCCCATTTCGTAACCATTATTGCTGAGTCCTGTTGGAATGTTCAGGTGGCCAACCGAAGGCGCACATTTTCAGCTGACCTCTTTGGCAAGTAAACACGATCATTTTGTTTGTTTACAAACTGCTGGATAACGAATGTTTTCTCATCGGAGAAAACCAAATTCGGCAGTTCACCACTTTCGGCCAAACATACCAACTCTTTAGCTCTTTTGAGTCTATTTTCTATCAGTTGCGGTGTAAGTTCTGCACTTTTTTGAATTGCAATGGCTTTACCCCGAGCTCATTTTTCAATATTTGCCAAATGGAATATTGCGATATGTTCAGCTCACGAGTCATTTTTCGGCCAATACGACGCATGTTTCGATCAAGTCGCTTCTTTACTTTTCTAACCATTTCTGCTGATGTTGTTGTTTTCTTCTTCGGTCCACTTCCTTGCTGTCGGGCTATGCTACCAGTTTCACACGGTAACGAGCGATGGTACGAGACACAAAAGATTTATTCACATTTTAATGCTGGAGTGCTCTAACGGATAGCCACGTGTGGTTTTCCAGCCAAATATAAAAAAAATTCCATCACGAATAACTTTTTTTCTGGAAAATTCTTACCAAACAATATAATAAGCTGTCACTGGAATAATTTTAGCAGCTGTCAAACGATTGGCTTAGAAATGACAGCAATCTGAAATTGGTTGCAGTTTTTCATCTAACTCTGTACTATGTCAAGGCGTTTTTCACAAATAGATACAATAAGGAGGTAGAACAGCTTCGTAAAACTACAGAAATACAGCCCGGAGGCTATGCCCGCTTCCTGTCAGATTCATTCAAAATTATATACAACAAATTGTTCCAATTTTTTTATATTTTTAATCATTTTTAAAATGAATTAAAAAACGCGAAAAATGAATGAAATGCCTGGATTTTCTCTCAAAAATATAATCCAAACTGTCCATTATTTCAATTTCATGGCTAAACTGTTTAATAGCCTTAATGCCCTACCCGCAATGTGTGTGTCTTCCAGTCATTGATTTTGAAAATATTTTGTTTAGAAACAAATTATCACCTGGTAGCTCTACTTTACCTCTTTGATGTACTATGGATTCAAGTATTCTGTGGCAAATGTAGGTTCTCGATGTAAGAGTGCCTGTCACGGATATCACAAGGGGCCCCCTTGATCCTATTTCTAAGCTTCTTCAGCATCTCATCTGCTATCCTGCCGCTTAAAATCCACAGTCTGTACTCATTGTTGGTTTAATATGACTTTAGGTTTTACATAGTCTTCTCATATTGTGTGCAGTAGTCCACAAAATTGCCTTCTCATTTTGGAAAATGGAATTCTGATTTTTTTCATCTCAGGATGTTAAGACGTTTTTCACAAATAGATACTACCCCTGTGAGGTTTTCTATCAACACTGATAGAGTTGAGAAGTCATAGACACCCTTATATAGTTGGGTCTACATAAGGAATAACCCCTGGATTTTTTCTCTTCTTTCTCTTTCAGATTTATGTCCACGGTTGGTGATCGAGGAAAATGCCTTAACATACCCTTGGCCGAGGGTTTTGATAGTCTGAATGTTGCCTCGGCTCTTACTCTAATTTTATATGAGTTACGTAAAAACATTCTTCAACAAGATCAACCTATCTCCTCTTCTACGTCAGCACAGGCTTAATGTTTTAATGTATCAACACTCCATTTTGGATTTTTTGAGACTTGTAATTCTTTATTATGAATTTGTTGTTAATGAGTTTCGATTTTTCGAAATGCTTTAAAAATGAAAAAAAAAGCAAAAAAAATTGAAAGGCAAGGCAAATAAATCAAAGCAAAGAAAACAAAAGGAAGAAAATAAAGAAATAAGATTAAACAAAAAATTAAAAAATAACACAGTTTTTTCTTTCTTTTTTTTTCAATGTAAACTAAAAATTATTATAAACATGTTTTTGTTTTTCTTTTGTTAAACATTTGTTTTGTGTTAAATAATATCATTATTATAATAATAAAAATATATATGTACATATTACATAGGAGAGATGCTTTTTTTGGATATTCAAAATGAAAACAAATCTCTTATTACTCGAGGGATAGAGGGAAGGAAAGAAAAATGATAATGAAAAATAAATGAATAAATGTAATAAGATAAAAATCTGCAGTATAGTGTTGTGTTGGTAGCAAAAGTATAACAAAAGCAAGAAAGAAGTACTTTTAAAGTAAAAAAACCCAAGTTTGGGGGAGGATATTAGACATGCAAATAGTAGTAACTTTCAGAATGTTTTTCTAATTTTAGGTTGTTAGGAAGTTGTTTTTTTATTCCTCTATGTTTGCCTCTAATGTACGTTTTGCTTCGTGGGGGCGGGGCGGGGTCTGATCAGAAAGATAATTTTATACTACCTCATACCGATGTTCCACATGCAAGACAAATCAAGAAGTCATTACGAACGACACTTGGAGCTATTTTGTATAACGTTCACATAAATACAAAACCATGGAGCAAGGATTTCAATAATTGATTTTATGGGGACCCTTGATGGCCCATCCAATCCTTTTCCATGCCTGTCCCTTCTATTTAATTGAGAAATTAGTTAAATAAATTTGTTTGTTAAATGGAATAGGAAAATAAATATTGCCGCCTCATTTTAAATGGGTCTTCTTCATGCAATATTTGAAAGTGTCAGGATGCTATTTCTTTATCATCATCATCATCTTTGTTTTGTATCCCTTATTAGTAAGCTACACTCTAACTAAACTTAAATTAGGGCTTTTGTTGTTGTTGCTGTTATGCTTTTCGTTTTCATCATCACCATCTTCATCATCATCATCGTTTTCATCATTACGATCATTAACATTGTCATCACCATAGTATCCAGTTTGAGTTTATGAGGTTGTTGCTGTTGTTCTCGTGTCTCTAAACAAGGCTAAAAATTGAAACCTCCCTGTGGTGCACCCAGATCCGTATTAAACGCATACTGATTGCCATCGGCGGATGGCGCCACTCGTTCCACCTCTTCGTCATTGGAGAAATATTGTTCAATGATATTGAAACATTTGTGATAGATATCGCGATTTTCGTGCGACTGCAAATATTCTATTCTGTCCAAACCTAGAATTGAAAGCAACAATTTTAATTTTGCGATTACAAAAAAAATGAGACAAATTTACCTCCATATTCCTCAATGATCATGGCATAGGGATTTGGTCTTTCAGGGAATTTCTCACCAGCTTTAAGTATATTTTCCAGGGCATTTAAAGCTACTTGCACCATGTCCGAATCGAGCAAAGTCAGACAAGAGACCATGGGTTCAAGACAGCCAATGTGGACCTGAAAAAAAAAATACGAAGATGAAGAAGAAGAAAGATTAAATTTTTTCTAAAGGAGAATTTTTATTTGTACCCTCCACCATGGAGGTTATATTAAGCTTGTCATTCCGTTTGTAACACCTCATTTAGACCCCACAAAGTATATATATATATTCTTGATCTGCATAAAATTATATGTCGATTTAGCGATGTCCGGTCGTCTGTGGAAATCACTCTAGCTTCCGAACGAAATGAAGTAGGTTGATAAAATTTTACTCAACTGTATATTGTGTCTGCAGGACTTTTGGTATTGAAAATGGGCCATGTAGGCCCACGTTTTGGTATAGCCCTCATATAATTGTACCTCCCTATTTTCGGTATTTTAATGATTTTAGCGACTTTATTCACTAGAAATGTTTCAAATTTTCCATTTGAAGTTCGCAATGGATACTACAGCCAATGGATACTACAGCCTATGTGCAGGTCCACGTCTTCGTAGAGCCAACATATAACGATACCTCCCGATATTCGGTATTTCGATGATTTTAGCGACATTATTCACCGGAATTGTTTCAAATTTGGTATTTGAAGTTCGTAATGAATACTACAGCCTAAGACAAAAAATTGTCTGTGCAGGTCCTCGCCTTCGTATAGCCCCCATATAACGGTACCTCCCGATATTCGGTATTTTCATGATTTTACTGATATTATTCACCGGAACTGTTTCAAATTTGGCATTTGAAGTTCGCAATGGATACTAAATAATAAGACAGAAAATTGTCTTTGCAGGTCCACGTCTTCGTATAGCCCCCATATAACGATACCTTACTATATTCGGTATTTTAATGATTTTGGCGACATTAATTACCGAAATTGTTTCAAATTTGCTATTTGAAGTTTGTAATGGATACTACAGCCTATGATAGAAAATTGTCTGTGCTTGTCCACGTCTTCGTATAGCCCCCATACAACGGTACCTCCCAATATTCGATATTTTGAAGTTTTTAGCGACATTATTCACCGGAAGTTTTTCAAATTTAGTATTTGAAGTTCGCAATGGAGGCCTACAACGTAAGACAGAAAATTGTTCAAGAAGATCCATGTCTTCGCATAGCCTCCATATATTGGCACCTCCCTATTTTCGGTATTTTGGTGATTACAACAACATTAGTCACCGGAATTGTTTCAAAGTTAGTATTTGAAGTTCGTAAGGGATACTTTAGAAAATTGTCTGTGCAGGTCCACGTCTTCGTAAAGCCCCCATATAACGATACCTCCCTATATTCGGTATTTTAATGATTTTAGCTACATTATTCACCGATTTTTTGTTTTTCAAGTTTCGCATTTGAATATTGTAAGTGCAAAAGAAAACTCACCAAATATCTTATTTGTTCTGCCGTACCACTGCTGGTGGCATTTGTCAAAGCCCATGCTGCCTCTTTTCGTGTCTTATAGTCGTGCGGTTTTATCATAACATCCACCAACATTGGGAAAATATTTGCATCAATTAATGCCTGGATCTGTTGGCGATTGCCGGCGGCAATATTTGAGATCGTCCAGCAAGCTTCTTTTTTAATCGTATCCAGGGGTGAGTTCAATAAATGACTAATACAGGGCAATGCATTGCAATTTAAAATGACTTGAGTTTGAACATCGTCGCCGGTCACAATATTGCCCACAGCCCTAAGGGCGGCGGTGACAACATTATTTTGGGGATGCCTAAATGGAAAACAAGAGCAATGAATAAATCTTTGCAAATCAAATATAATTTTCAACTTACATTAATAGCTCCACCAAACGCCGACAAACACCAGCATCGATGACAGCTTGTATCTTATCATTTGGACCATCGGACAAATAGCTAATGGCCCAGCAAGTATCACTTAAAACATCTGTATCGGTGTGATTGAGCAATCTAGCCAATATGGGTAGGCCGTGGACAACTTTGGAAAAGTCAGCTGGAGGATTTTTGCCGCGACACAAGTTCGATAGAGTCCATACCGCGTTACGTATCATGGTTAAACGTTCGGTGGTGCTTAAAACGCTGTTGTGAGAAAGTGAGAAAATACAGAGAGAGAGACAGGGGTTTATAGGTTTGCCAATTTATTGTTTCCGAGGGGAGCTGGAGGTGAAACTTACTGCAACAATGGCTGCATAATACCAGAATTCAATAAATGATCTCGACATGCCGGAGAATCACCCGCAATATTACCCAAAGCCCATACGGCCTGTTCTTGGACATCATCATGGGGACTGGAGAGCAATTCTATGAATATTGGTACACCACCTGCCTCTATGACAATTTTGGTTTGTTGTGAGGTGCCGGAAGCAATGTTAGTTAATGTCCAAGCTGCTTCAAACTAAAAACAAAACAAAAAATTATGGAATTAGAAATTATTTACAAATATGAAGAGACACTTGATTTTAAAGATGAGAATCACTTTATGTATTTTTTTACAAAAAAGAAATCGGTAAAGATAGTCCTAAAGTGGGTGGGGCGACTTTATGATACCCCACACCCCTTTGCATATTTAGTAGAGCTTCAAATAACAAATAAAAGTTTCTATGGGGAATTTTTGAGAATCAAAACATACAAAGATTATATAGTTATAATTTAAAGTCCGAAAGAACTAATATATGAGAGGAATATCCACCTCCGAATCGATTTCTTCTAAATTTGCCGAGGCATTTGTGCCTTTTCAATTCGGTCTTATATTAGCCATTTGGTACGCAATTAATTTAATGTCAGATAAAGATATATATGGGAGCTATATCCAAATCTGAACCGATCTTGATAAAATTAGGCAAAGGTATTTCTGAGCTGTATTTGATATATTTCCTCGAATATCGTAGTTATGGAGTGCATATTATGGCTGTGGAAAACAAAAATGACAAATCGGATGAACAATATATATGGGAACCATAGCTATGTCTGAACCGATCTTCACCAAATTTGACATACTTGTTTCTACGCTCAATCTGGTGGTAAATGCCAAATTCCATCCCATTTGAGCTAATACTACACGTTTGGTGCACAGTAAAAGGCAAATCGGACGAAGATATATGTATGGGAGCTATATCCAAATGTGAAGCGATATCGATAAAACTTGGCAAAGGTATTTCTGAGCTGTATTTGATATATTTCCCCGAATATCGTATTTATGGAGAGCATATTATGGCTGTGGAGGACAAAAATATCAAAACGGATAAGCAATATATATGGGAGCTATAGCTATATCTGAACAGATCTTTACCAAATTTGACACAATTGTTTCTAGGTTCAATTTGGTCGTAAGTGCCGAATTTTATCCCATTTGGGTTAATATTATACGTTTGGTGCACAATGAAAGCCATATCGGACGAAGATATATATGGGAGCTACATCTAAATTTTAACCGATTTTCTCAAATTTCAATAGGGTCCGTCCTTGAGCCAAACAAATGACTTGTGCTAATTTTCGTCTGGATCACGCAATAAATACGGATTATTTACTTTGTATACAAGAATACATGGACAGAGGCGGACGGACGAACATGCATAAATCGACTCAGAATGTGATTCTTTGCAGATCATCAAAAGGAACTATGGGTCTATCTCGCTTTCTTCTCAATGTTACAAACAAATGCAGAAAGATATAATACCCTTACCACTATGTGGTGTAGGGCATAATAGCTATTAGAGATTATTTTCAGTTTTACAAATTTGATTGAAGGAAATGTTTTCCTTAAAAGAATTTTCTTCATTGACTGAGGGCAAATTCTTTCCATAGTAAAATGTTATTGAAGTCTAAGACTGATCTTGACCAAACATCGGTACAACAAAGCCCAATAAATTTTTTGCTAATTTACATAAATATTTTTTCCCCTGGGGAACCCCCATTTCTTGTTTGACTGCTGAATTAGAAATAGAAATGACATTATCAACGTATTATTCATCAATCTCACCTGCAGTGAAGCATTGTTATTGTTCTTTAGAAATTGTACAAATCTTGGTACAATACCCCTTTGTATAACTTCTTCAATAGGTGGATTTGGATCTCGTGATAAAAGTTTACGGAACTTTTGTGTTGCTTCCAATTGAACACTTTCGCTATCACTATACAAAGCATCGATCATTTCTTTCTTGATAATTGTTGTCCCCGTTGGATGCTGTTGTTGTTGCTGCTGCTGCTGGGACATTGGTGTGGCATAGTTTTGCTGCTGTTGCTGTGTTGTCTGCTGTTGATCTTGTTGTTGTTGGTGATTGAGCACCGTCTGAGGTATTAGTTGTTGATCATTATGATGTGTGGTTGTTAAATCTAAACCGGCTTCAATTGTTTGCATATCATTTGGAAGTTGATGCATTTCAGATTCCTGTCATAACCAAATACAAATTAGGTAAATTTTTGGAAAAAAAAAATGTGAAAAAACATACCTGCATGAAATCATTATCCATACCAACATCGGAAGGATTTTCCAAGACCACATTACGTCGTTTGGTAAGCTGTTGTTCACGTTTTTGTTTACGCAGCTGTATGCCCTCTTCCTCGCGTCGTCTACGCATTTCGGAGGAATCCATGCCAGCATTTTTGTAACGATGCCTGTGACTGGTGGCTGACATATTGTCTGAAACATAAAAAACACCAATCAATAGAGATTTTCAAACAAAAATTCCTCCAAAGTCAGGGGTGTGGTTTTATCATATTTCATGTTTTCCCCCTTTCTTGGCAAATAGGTTTGCTCTTCGTATATTGCGGATATTACTTTTATTTCAACCTTTCTAATTTGCATACAGTCTTATGTTGTTGTATAAACAATTGCTTGCAGAAGTAACTTTTACTTTTCATTAAGCAATCACAAAGTAAAGGTGAGGTGTCTTCATTTCCCTTCTAATTGACAGACGGCACACACTACACACTCTGTTATGTTATTTATCACATCCACACTACATCATCATCATCACCATCACTTCATTAAGCATCACCGATGAACACATGAAATATGATGAAAAAAGTACATATTCTATCTCTGCCTACTTATTCCTTACAGCACCACCAACAAATCGACCGAACGAACGCAAGAAAAAAACTTTTACGTGCAACCAACCAACCACTACACTTGCACACACACACACTCATGCATGCATATGGGCAGAGAGAGACGAAGAAAAAGTATCGCTTTTTACTTATAAAACACACGTTTTTCTTTCGACAAATCCGTCATGATTTACCACCATTCAGTGTTAATTCATTATAATTTCCTTGATTGGCAATTGAGCAATGTTTGTATTGTATTCAATAACATTAGATTTACCTATATGTTACGGAGATTTTGTGCTGAAATTTGTTAATAATTCTTTTTTTTTTTTGTTAAACTGGTAGTTTCCGTGTACTATAAATCTTCTTCTTCCTTCGTATTAATTTCTGTGTAATCATTTCGATTTGCATGGCATTTGACATCTGTTACCATTCACCGAGAAGGTGAGAGAAAAAAGAAGTAAAACGTATAACAACATTTACTTCAGGCATAATAAAAGTTGACCTGGGGCTGGACAAGAATCCAACCCCTGTAAAATGTATGTTTACATACGTACCATGGTAGAATTAAGAAGGTAAAGTATTTTCAAATAAAAATTCCCATTGACATACTTGTTTATTTACATTTATAAATCATTCAAATATTCAACCAATTTTGTGAAATGAAATGTTTGTGTCAAATGTTGAGAATGGTTAAAGGTATTACGTAGTTGGCTCAATCTATGATTCGATCAATATGTTTCCCATAGATATAATAGCTTGTTCATTTTCGCCGATCTAATAATAGCCGACTTTCTAATCTGGAGGAATTGAATTGTGTTTTTAAATTAAGAATATTTACCGAAGGTCGGCCTTTTTATCCTGACTAAAACAACATACATTTTTTCAGGGGGAACCCCGTGCTTCCTGTAACATAGAAGATTCCCAAATTGCCCTTTTTTCTTCGTTATTTCCAAACTTTGATTCGAGTGACATGTATTGGACATACCACGGCGGAAAAAGACCCAAATATAAAAGAAAGCTCATTTGTCTTCAAATTTCGTAGATTACAATATTTATACCTGCAAAATTTCTACCAATACAAGATCTGGTATGAAAAATGGATCACTCCTTCCAGTACATCCACTACAACGGGTTGTATACTCATGAACCTCACAAAATGCAAAATAATCATCCTTTTCTTTTCAAACTTTGCACACCCCTGTACGTCTGAATGCTCAAAATCTGTTATAAAGATGGGATGCAGCTCCTTTTATCGGAGCCATTTGCTTGGGTTTTGAGAACAATACAAAAATGTATATTCATTTCGGTCAATATCATTTTTTTACAAAGAAACCTTTTTTCATATTTTCAAATTAAAAATTAAGGTTTTTTTTTTTTGAAATTGAATTTATGTTCGCAAAAATAATTTTGACAATGAGATGTTGTCAAATGGTAATTTTGAAAAAAATTGTAAACAATATGATTATATTACTTTACCTTCTTAATTCTACCATTGTAGTACCCATTACGAACTTCAAGTACGAAATTTAAAACAATTCCGGTAAATATAGTGGAGCTAAAATCATCAAAATACCAAATTTTGGAAGGTACCCTTATATGGGAACTATACGGGCTATAAGGATTTAGAAAATCCAGCCAATTCAAACTGTCCATTCCATTATATATATTTCAAATAAATAAAGGTTAACCCAGAAAAAGCTCTAATATAAACATGCCTTTAATGTGCTACATTTTAGGTTTCTATCCATGGTAGAAGAATAAAGATAGACGCATCGACACAGTTGCTGGGACAATGAACTGCCAAACTAATTTTGAATTAAAAATGTTGAATGTAAAATTATGTAAGTTTGTAAACATTGTAAAAAACGCATAAAAATCTACTTATATTTGAAAAAAGCATTTAAAAATTTTTGACACATCAATGTTCCCAAGCGATAATGCGTATGCCCGTGTTCTTCTACCATGCTTCTATCTCCAAAGCTGATCAAGAATATATATACTTTGTTGGGTCTAACCCTAATATAGCTTTTTAAAATTAAGTTCTATATATCCTTAAAATCTATTGCGGCGCAAAAGGATTGAAATCTGTCCATATGTGGATTCTAATGAGCACTTTTTCCATGAGTACGTCTAGTGTGAACCTTGCGTACGTACGTCATTAATAACTGTCTATTCAGTTATTGTGTGTTATCAATGCAAGTCTTCTTCTTATTTCCAAATAATTTTCGCGGCCTTGTTTTTTGGTTTAATTTTTAAGTTTTTTTTTTTTGGATTTTAAAGCAGACTAAACAGAATCGGATTGCACATATTCTAATGCTACATTCACTTCACTGGATTCCGGAAAGATATAGATACATTTAACTCCAATTTGAAAGGGTAGAGTGTCAGGTCCACTTTGGCATACATGTAATCCACAATGTATAATTTTCGACTTAATTTGGGAGTTTTACATAAAATAACTATAACTTCAATAATCTGTATTGATTTAGTGGATTCGGGGCTAATTCGGGTTTTTTCGCCGAGTTATCCGATCAAATAGTCGCCACAGATACTGAAGTTAAGCCAAACATTCTTCATGGATCAATCTAAAACATATTTCTTTGTATGCTGTTGCTTGTCTTCCTTTGCAGACCGATAACATGGACAAAAGCAATATCGATCAGTTAAAAATCTTGTATAATGCTTTGCAACAGAAAATGCAACAACACAACAAAGTGCCAGCCATGGAGCAAGACCGAAAATTGCAAATAATGCAACTATTGCATGATTTCAACGACGTCAAAGATGCAGCACAAATAGTTTTGGGAGCTTTGGCCAATTTGGAGTGTAAGACCATTAAGGAAATGCATTTAATATATAACTTACCACTGAATGAATAGGTAAATAAAAGAATTAAAATATCTTTGTAAGTATTCCCTTTGTTTGCATTCCACAGATTCCAGAAAATATTCATTCCTTGTAGATAGTTATAATTTCAGAATATACATTTTATTTAGTGTATATCGTAATTTCTTTAAAATCTATAAATGACAATATCCCTTCATTTAATCTTGAATATATAGCACTGAGCAAAGTTGTTTAAAAAAAAAATAACAATAACATATGTTTGACCTATATTTCTAGAAGTTTTTTTTTGTTATTCTTTAGTTACATAAGATAATCAAAAATGCCAACATTGTACTTTTGGGGCCGCCGCCGGCAACTGCTGAAACATTTCAATAGCGAAAAAATTGTTGTTTACATTTTTTGTTCCTCAATTTGAGGACTTCCTAGGGGCTAATTTCCACATACCGAGTAATGTATTATAATCATAAGGCGGCATCTCCGGCTCTGAAGAATACCCGGCAACGTTCATTGAATGCCTTGTATGAACGATCTTTTACAATGTCCTCCACATTCAATTCCGATTGTAAAACGCGCAACTATACGGGAAAATGAAAGCAATACATTAATGGATAGTCCATCTCCTTGTGTTGAATCTTGGAAAACCCACCTTTCTTTGTTCCGATTTGAATTTCTTATTGACATCAACATCATCCGGGTTAGCTTCACGCTGTTCCCGCAATGTTTTCAATGTATCAGCCGAGACCATAATGCAACCACGTATGGCCTCTTCACGTTGTTTGTGACCCACCTTCAGTTTGTCATATAAATCCCTGCAGGTTTGTTCACTATTTACTTGACCCTTGAAAGATTCAGTCGGCAGGGAAGTGTTCAATGTATAGATGATCTTATCGTCAATATCTCGCATTTTCTTTAGAGCTTCCTGAAAGTGTAAAATTTGTGGCCATTAAATTGAACACACACATGCGATTATGAGGAAATCTTCAGCACATACTTGGAAGCCGAGAAAATCTTGACAGGAATATGAAATAGCCATATTTCGCGGTGAAAAATCTAATTTATTTATTTTTTAATAAAAAAAAGTGTTACAAAATGCCAATGCAATGCAAGTGACAGAAGGCGAAAAACACCGACTGAAATGTCAAATTGGAATAACATAACCTAATTTGTGGCAGGGTTGTATTTTCTTACCGTGTGTTTTTCGTACACTCAGAGAAAATAAATGTTCAGAAGAAAAACAGAATAATATTTTTAATACTAAAATACTTTTTATACAATTAAAAACATAACTAAAAATAAAACAAAAATTTTTTGATTTGTCAAGAAAAAAAACCTGGCCTTACTTAGAAACCGGGGGAATGCCGGAATGCCTTAAAGCTGGATGGAAGCATGGTACCATGGATGGAAGTAGTAGTAGTGGTACACCACTACTGATATCCTCAATCTACCTGCCCTACGAAGGCCTGGACCTACAATACAAAGATGTGTTGGACCTGCTAAAGGAAATATATATTATTTTTCATGAAACACAATTTCTAAAAAATCTTCGTTTTGGCGATTCTTTAAAAATGATGCCCACGCTTTTAAGGCCGTTCAACAAGTATTTTAAATATCCTACACCACAAGGTGGTCAGAGCATTATTATTATTTGTTTGTAACAGGCAAAAGGAAACGAGATAGACCCATAGTTTCTTTTGATGATCTTCATAAAATCACATTTTGAGTTGATTTATGCATGTATGTCCAGATATTTTTGTAAATAAATTACTGGTCGCATTTATTGCCCGATTCCGACGAAAATTTGTACAAGTCATTTGTTTGACAATTTGGTTGGGGCAATGGAATGAAAGCAAAAAAAATTGGGAAATAGCATCAAATTTTAAAATAAGTTTAGATTTGTTCGAATTGGTCACCTTTAGCACGAATTATGGCCTTCAAACTGCCCGAATGTTGCTCTGCGGTATTTTGGCCCAATCCCGGCCAATCGCCGAAGGTGCACATTTTCAACTGACCTCTTTGGCAAATTCGGCAGTTCACCACTTTTGCCCAAGCGAAGCAACTCTTCAGCTCTTTTGAGTCTATTTGCTTTCGGTTGCGGTGTAAGTTCTTGCACTTTTAGGAATTTCAATGGCTTTTCCCGCGAGCTTATTTTTCAATATTTGCCGAATGGAATATTGCGATATGTTCAGCCCACGAACCATTTTTCGGCCACTGCGGGTTTCGATCAAGTCGCTTCCTTACTTTTCGAACCATTTCTGTTGTTGTTGAGACACAAAATATTTATTTACATTTAAATGCTGGAGTGTTCTAACGATAGCCACTTGTGGTTTTCCAGCCAAATATAAAGAAATCACACTATCACGCTTGAATTCCATCACGAATAACTTTTTTTTTGGAAAATTCTCACCAAAATGCTTTTATACTTTTGTAAACAATATAATGAGCCGTCACTGGAATAATTTTACCAGCTGTCGGACGTGTGGCTTAGAAATGACAGCTGTCTGAAGTTGGTTGCAGTTTTTCCATTTCACACTGTATTGTGCACCAAACGTGTAATATTAGCCCAAATGGGGTGCAATTTGGCACTTAACACCGACTTGAGCATAGAAACAAGTATGTCAAATTTAGTGAAAATCGGTTCAGATATAGCTATAGCTCGCATGTATATTGTTCATCCGATTTGATATTTTTGTCCTCGGCAGCCGTAATATGCACTCTTTAATAGCGATATTTGTGGAAACATATCAAACACAGCCCAGAAATACCTTTCCCAAATGTGAAATTTGGTGAAAATCGGTTAAGATCTTCGATTAAAAATGCAGGTTATATATTTCTTTTTTTCAAAATAAGCTTGACATTTGTTTTTTATTTAATATTAAAGCATTATGTTTTATATTTAATATTTTATATAATTACTATTCAAAAAAAATGGTGTTGAATTGTTTTCCGTTTTACGAAACATTTATGCAAATAAATATCAATAATTTTGTTTAATATATTAGTATAATTTTATATTGCAAAATAAATTTTCAAAGCTTTTTCTTATTTTTTTCTCTCTTTCTTATTTTCTCTCTCAGGCATTGCAATTCTTCGTCTTCCTTATCATCAGAACTTGACTTAAAACAAATATTTACAACAAAATGGGGGGAAAAATAACAAAACAATAATATTTTTTTTAATATTGCAGTAGCACTATTGAATATATATATATATAAAAAAACAATTTTTTTAACATAAAGAAAAACAAAAATATAACACCTAATCATCAAAACACACGTGGAAAATTATTAAAAGGAAACATACATATACATGAACAGAAGCTTAATGGGGGAAGGAGGAGGAAGAGGGAGTGTTTGGGAAAACAAACAAAAAATAAAGAACCTAAAATTCGACTATTATAATTTATTTTATAACATTAGTTTAAAATATAAATTTAAGACATAAATTATGTATGAATTTTATTGTGTCTAAATTATTATTTAAAAAAAAATATCACGCGCACTACGCAGACACGCACGTATAAACAGCAGCAAACAGACGCCTTTTCTTGTTTCCTTTCCAATTTCATCATTCACGAAATATAAGAATATACACATATATATTTAGAAAACAAAAAATAATAATAATAATAATTATAATAAAAGTACATATAGCTAGAAATTATATAATAATCACAATAATTGTTTAACGCTCGGCGTGTGTATAGTGGTTCCCAATATTATTTCTCATTCTCTTTGTTTTCTCATTCTTTCTTTGTTGTTTTCTTTAGGATATTGTACACATTTTCTTCAGATCATTTTCCGTTTCGTCATTGTCTTCGTTGCCCAAGACACCACTTGGCAGTGTCTTGCCCTCAATATTTGGCAAATACGGTTCATAGTCTAGGCCTTTGCGTTCGTAGAAAAGTAAATAGGCTGAACTAGGATCAATATTGGGTGGATTGGATATTTCACGGCACGAACTGTCATTGTAGCAGTACCAGGAGCCATTTGGATTGGCGGCATAGGAGACATAATGGCCACCGTTCAGCATGCCGGAATGCGACTAGGAAAAAGAAAAAAAAAACACATACAATTTAGTAAATAACTTCATGTCTATGGTCTAAAAGGTATTCAAAGAAATATTCTTAAAATTTTAAAGTTTATCGCTCTAATATTTCTCCGAAAAACATTCCTAGAAACTTCACGTCTAGCAAACTTAGCATCCATTAAAAACCACATAGAGGTCTTCGGGTTCTACACATAGTATTTAAAAATTATTCTCATTATTTGTTGTCTAAAGGAATTATTTTTAAAACTATAAGCGATAGACAGGTCTCTCAAAAAACGGATTCTTATTTTATTTTATTCAAAACTTTGACCCTTTGTGAGGGAGGTACCGGAAAGAAAAGCATTTTGGTTAGAATTTTCCAGAAAAAAAAAAATCTATTCGTGATGGAATTCAAGCTTGATAGTGTGATATCTTTATATTTGGCTGGAAAACCACAAGTGGCTATCGTTAGAGCACTCCAGCATTCAAATGTGAATAAATCTTTTGTGTCTCGTACCATCGCTCGTTACCGTGATACTCGTAGCGTAGCTCGACGTCAAGGAAGTGGACCGAAGAAGAAAACAGCATCATTAGTAAAAGTAAAAAAGCGACTTGATCGAAATCCGCGTCGTAGTGGCCGAAAAATGGCTCGTGAGCTGAACATATCGCAATATTTCATTCGGCAAATATTGAAAAATGAGCTCGGACTGAAGCCATTGAAATTCCAAAAAATGCAAGACCTTACACCGCCAAAGAAAGAAAATAGACTCAAAAGAGCTAAAGAATTGCTTCGCTTGGCCGAAAGTGGTGGACTGCCGAGTTTGGTTTTCTCCGAAGAGAAAACATTTGTTGTCCAGCAGTTTGTAAAAAAACAAAATGATCGTGTTTACTTGCCAAAGAGGTCAGCTGAAAATGTGCACCTTCGGTTGGCCACGAGAACTCAAGCGTCGGCCATGGTGATGATGTGGGATGCCATAACAGCCGATGGACGCTCTCCGCTGGTATTAATCGACCGTGGCATCAGAATAAATGCCAAATATGATCGCGAAAATATTCTGGAGGGTGTATTAAAGCCTTGGGCACGCAAACATTTTGGCACCAGACTTTGGACATTACAACATGACTCAGCACGCGCCATCCAAAAATGGTTACAAAATGAGGTTCTTCGCTTCATTTCCAGTGTACAATGGCCAACGAAATCTCCGAATACCAATCCGTAGGACTATTGTGTCTGGAGTATTTTGGAAAGCAAGGTTGGCACTAAAAATACCAAAGTGTCGATCACCTTAAGCAAGCGCTTAGCCGGGAATGGGCCAAAATACCGCAGAGCTACATTCGGGCAGAATGTGACGGTTTCATTGGCCGTTTGAAGGCCATAATTCGTATCAAAGGTGACCGATTCGAACAAATCTAAACTTGTTCTAAAATTTTATGCTATTTCCGACATTTTTTGCTTTCATTCAATAAATTTATGAAAAAAATGTAAAAATTATGGCTTTTGACTTTGTTGTAGTTTTTTTCATCTCACCCTGTATACCGTCTCTAGACATATGGCTGAGGGTATAAAAATTCATTGTCCCTTCATGTTTAATGCCTCAAAAATATTATTAAAATCAAAGTCCACTTCCAAACAGATATTCTCAAAAAAGCCCCGTTCATTCCTTCAAAAGTATTCTTAAAAACTCCACCTTTAGCGTCCCAAAATATCCTAAAGATCTCCACTTGAAGTACCTCAAAATTATATTAAAAAATTCACGTATGGTCTTTAAAAATTCTGATTAAAGTCCAAGAAAGTATTTAAGTATTCTTAAAAATCCACGCTTGTTCCCCTAAGAATTTTTCTCTCACGGGAACCCCGTTTAGTTCATCAAAAATAATCTAAAAAATTCGACTTTAAGTTCCTCAAAAACTCTTCCCAAAAACTCTTCGTACTTCTAGATCCCTAGAAGTCCTTAAAATTATTCTTTAGCCTAGCCGACAAAGGAAATTCCAAACTTTTTGTTTCTCACCAAAAAAACTTACCACAACGGCATACAGCTTATATTTCGGATCGAATGGATCGTCGCCTTTTTTCAATTTATGCTGGTGGAAATCTTCAAAGGCCCCATCAACAATGGGCGTTTTGGTGAGGCTGGTCGAAATTAGACGTTTTCGTCGCGTCATTGTACGATCATCGCCGGCCTTACGCAATATGGCAGCATTGTCTAGCATTTTATCCGAAGATTCCTCCTCCTCTTCGTCATAGTCATCGGCCAGAGTCGTCGTTGCATTAGTTGCACCAGCCACACCATTAACCTGGCAACATTTGCTATCGATAATATTACAACAGGCATCGAGAATTTGTTCTTTATTTGTGGTCGCAGCTACAGCTGCTGGCTGCTGTTGTTGTAGATTTAATATATTATTAACTTTTTCGTTAAGCGCTAGTTGAGCCTCTCTTGTAAGACCATTAAGGGGTTTGTTATTGGTGTCAGCTGCAGCAGCAGGAGCATTGTTGCCATTATTTAGCGCGGCAATGTTTGCTGTGGGAGTGATCTTGTTGGTGGTCTCATTTTGGCTTTTTGCTTTACTTAAATTATTTTCGTCCTTCTCCTCATTCACTTCCTTTTGTTGCTGTTGTTGTTGTAGTTTTGTAATATCACTTGTTGTTATTGCTTCATTGTTTTCATTAATACCATTTAGGGTTTTGGAAATTTCATTCATTTCGAGTAGTTCCTTGTGCCTTAGAATTGTCTCCTGTGGCACCGCCGCCAGATAGGGTGTCGGATCGAAATCATCCAAGGGGAAATGTACCACCTTTTGTGATTTCACCCATTTGTTGTTGACACAGTTGAAACGCTTCAAGTGGATGATCTGAAAGGAAAGAAAAAAAAGAAAGGATAAAGGAGAATCAAGTGAAATAGCTGTAAGTTCGACCAAGCCGAACTTTTCAAAAAAAAAAAAAAAAAAAAAACAATATGGCTGTTGGAGCGCTTTTGGCTAGAGAGGGTATATATCATTTGATACGGCCAAAACGTACCTCATCGAAATTACGGTTTTAGACCCTAGGTCTCTTTGGACCAAATCCGTTTCAGGACATTTGGAGTCGATCTAGCGATGTCCGTCCGTCCGTCTGTCTGTGTCTCTGGCTGACTGGTGCGCAGATTACTCTCGTAGGGAGTATACGATTTGATCCGAACTTGTTCGGTCGAAGGTCCACTCCTTCTGGTACCTCCCCCACAAAATTTCATCATTTTCAAAGAAAATAAATTACTGCACAGAAGAAGAAAGGAAAATCCGATTTTGCTCAAACTTTGCAAATCCTAATATTTGGATCAGTGATAGGTCAAGTGCGAAAATGGACAATATTGGTTCTACTCCATCCACTACCTCCCCCACAAAGGGTCAGAATTTGGAATAATTATAACTCTTTTAAAATGTGATGTAGGTCTCCCGATTGTCTTTAAATAACACACATCTCAATATTTTTATTAACACAAGGTCAGGTGTGAAGATGAAATATATCGGTCCACTCCTTCTGGTACCTCCCCCACAAAGTGTCAACATTGTAAATATCCATGAAGCTCATAAAACGCGAAATTAACATCCGATTCCATTCAGACTTGGTACATCTCAATTCTTCCATAAACACATGATCTTTTATGAAGATGGTAGAGATCGGACGATTCCTTCTGGTACCTCCTCCACAAAGGGTCAAAGTTTTAAATAGCCGAAACGATCATAAAATCCAAAATAAAAATCCGGTTCTCTTCAAATTACACACGTCACAATATTTGTATCAACCCAAGGTCTGGTGTGAAGATGAACAATATCGGTCCACTCCTTCTGGTATCTCCTCCACACAGGGTCAACATTTTGAGTACTTCATAAAACGCGAAATTAACATTCGATTCCATTCAGACTTGGCACATCTCAATATTTCTATCAACACAAGATATGTTATAAAAATGGTAGACATCGGAGCATTCCTTGCGGTACCTCCCTCACAAAGGTTCAAGGTTTTGAATAACCGAAACGATCATAGCCCCCACATAGGGTTATTTTTCTCATTCAACTCCCACTTATTTCACACTAAACACACATTTCTTTCTTTCTTGTAAGTTATGAAACTATGACTTATGATTTGAAGATATTAAACCTTTAAGACCCATGGTGTCAGTTTGCGGAATTATCATTTTAATATAGACCCCAACACTCTTACTTACCAAAATCGGTGGCAATTTCCAGATTTGTAACTTTTTGGTGGCTGGTTTTTTGCCTTTGCAATGGCTACAGTGATACCATTCCTCGAGCTTTTCTTCCGAGGTAAAGGCCCGCAGGCAATGATTCAGATCGACCGGTTCGATTTGTTCTTTGCGACATATCTCTACAGATTCGTGGTCTACCCAAAGCTGGGAGGACATATATAAAAAAGAAACAAACATTTCAGATCAATTGCGAATTAAGGAAATCTGAACAACTTACCCTCTCCAATGTACATTGATAACGTAAATGCAGGGCCGTTGGATCCCAATCGATGGCAATTATGTATTTATTATCATAGTTTCGACTCAAAATCATCGATTGCTGCGATTGCAATGAGTCACGATCTGATGATGTGGAATTTAAGGGTTTGCGATTATCCAAAGTACCGACCATGGAATTATTTGCAGATTTTGGCATCATTTTTGGAGTTGAAGTGTTACCTGAAAAAAAAAAATAAAAAAACAAAGGTGAATGGTGGAAACCAGAAAAGGGAATTTCGAATGACTTACTTGTATCAAAACTATTATTAAATAATGAACTTTGGAATACATATTCATTGTTGCAGGGTATTTCACAGCCACGGCAAAAATTTGACCAGGGACATAAGGCGCATGTTAGACCATCGCTTTTTACGGCACGCAGCGAAAAGGGGAAATCATAACCCAAGCTGTCATCACTGAGGGGAAAGAAGGGAGGTTTTATTTCTTGCTTTTCTTTTTTAAAATCGAAACATTTAAAATTGTAATTCAAAAATTCTATTAGTAATTCAAAACATTTAATTCATAATTCGAGAAAGGTTGCAACCGTAAAATCCACACGAAACTCGAATTATTTATTTGCAATTCAAACAATTTTCCATTTATAAGTCGAAAACGCTTTGTAATTTCGTGTTTTATGAACTTCCTGAATATTCAAAATTTTGACCCTTTGTAGAGGAGGTGCCGGAAGGAGTGGGCCAATATATTCCATCTTCACATCAGACCTTGGGTTAATAAAAATATTGTTTTGTGTGGAATATAAAAAAACCGGATGCTTATTTCGGATTTTATGTTCGTTTTGGTTATTCAAAACTTTGACCCTTCGTGGGGGAGGTACCACAAGGAATGGTCCAATCTCTACCATCTTCATAGCAGATCTTGTGTTGATGGAAATATTGAGATGTACCAAGTCTGAATATAATCGGATGTTCATTTCGCCTTTAATGAGCTTCATGGATACTCAAAATTGTGAACCTTTGTGGGGGAGGTATCAGAAGGAGTAGACCGATGTATCCCATCTTCACAATAGACCTTGGCTTAATAAAAATATTATTTTGTGTGGAATAAGAAGAGAACTGGATGCTTATTTCGGATTTTATTAGCGTTTTTGTTATTCAAAACTTTGACCCTTCGTGGGGGAGGTACCACAAGGAATGGTCCAATCTCTACCATCTTCATAGCAGATCATGTGCTGATAAAAATATTGAGAGGTGCCAAGTCTGAATGGAATCGGATGGTAATTTCGTGTTTTATGAGCTACATGGATACTCAAAAATTTGAACCTCTGTGGGGGAGGTACCCGAAGGAGTGGACCGATATATCCCATCTTCACAGCAGATCTTGTGTTACTAAAAATAATAGGATGTGTGAAAGATGAACAGAACTGGATGCTTATTTCGGATTTTATGTTCGTTTTGGTTATTCAAAACTTTGACCCTTCGTGGGGGAGGTACCACAAGGAATGGTCCGATCTCTACCATCTTCAAAGCAGATCTTGTGTTGATAGAAATATTGAGAGGTGCCAAGTCTGAATGGAATCGCATGTTAATTTCGTGTTTTATGAGCTGCAGAGATACTCAAAATTTTGAACCTTTGTGGGGGAGGTACCAGAAGCAGTGGACCGATATTGCTCATCTTCACACCAGACCTTGGGTTAGTAAAAATATTGTGATGTGTGTAATTTGAAGACAATCGGACACTTACATAAAATTTTATTAGAGCTATAATTATTCAAAATTTTGACCATTTGTGGGAGAGGTTCTGGATAGAGTGGACCGATATTGTCCATTTTCGCACCTGACCTAGCACTGATGAAAATATTTGTATTTGCAAAGTTTGAGCAAAATCGGATATTCCTTTCTCCTTCTGTGCAGTAATTTACTTTCTTTGAAAATGATGAAATTTTGTGGGGGAGGTGCCAGAAGCAGTGGACCGATATATCTAATCTTCACACCAGACCTTGGGTTGATAAATATATTGTGATGTGTGTAATTTAAAGGAAATCGGACACTTACATCACATTTTATAACAGTTCTTATTATTCAAAATGTTGACCCTTTGTGGGGGAGGTACTGGATGGAGTGGACCGATATTGTCCATTTTCGCACCTGACCTAGCACTGATGAAAATATTTGGATTTGCAAAGTTTGAGCAAAATCGGATATTCCTTTCTCCTTCTGTGCAGTAATTTATTTTCTTTGAAAATGTTGACATTTTGTGTGGGAGGTACTAGAAGGAGTGGACCGATATTGCCCATCTTCACACCAGACCTTAGGTTAATATAAATATTGTGATGTGTGTAATTTGAAGGCAATCGGACTCGTACCTAACATTTTATTAGAGTTGTAATTATTCAAAATTTTGACCCTTTGTGGGGGAGGTACTGGATGGAGTGGACCGATATTGTCCATTTTCGCACCTGACCTAGCACTGACGCAAATATTCAGATTTGCAAACTTGGAGCAAAATCGGATTTTCTTTTCTCCTTCTGTGCAGTAATTTATTTTCTTTGAAAATGTTGACATTTTGTGTGGGTGGTACCAGAAGGGGTGGACCGATGTATCCCATCTTCACAATAGACCTTGGGTTAGTAAAAATATTGTGATGTGTGTAATTTGAAGACAATCGGACTCATACCTCACATTTTATAACAGTTCTTATTATTCAGAATTTTGACCCTTTGTGGGGGAGGTTCTGGATGGAGTGGACCGATATTGTCCATTTTCGCACCTGACCTAGCACTGATGAAAATATTTGGATTTGCAAAGTTGGAGCAAAATCGGATTATCCTTTCTCTTTCTGTGCCTTAAAATATTTTCTTTAAAAATGTTGACATTTTGTGTGGGAGGTACCAGAAGGAGTGCACTGATATTGCCCATCTCCGAACTCGATCTAAGTTTGACAATAATATTACGATGTACCAAGTGTGAATCAAATCGGATACTCCCCCTGAGAGTTATTGTGCGGACCAGCCAGACAGGTAGACAGACGAACGAACGGACATCGCTAGATCGACTCCAAATGTCCTGAAACGGATTTAGTCCAAAGAGACCTAGGGTCTAAAACCATTTCGATGAGACACGCTTTGGCCGTGTCAAATGATATATAACCTCTCTAGCCATATGACTGAGGTTATAAAAATTCGAATTGCAAATGAAATTATTCGAATTACAAATGAAAAAATTCCAATTACAAATGAGATTATTTGAATTACAAAATAAAGAGTTCGAATTACAAATTAAATTATGCGAATGAGAAGTAAATCAATTCCGATTACAAATGAAATTATTCGAATAACAAATGAAATTATACGAATTATAAATGAAAAACTCAATTACAAATGAAATTATTCGAATTACAAATGAAAATTTTTCAGTTATAAATAAAAGTATTCTGATTACAAATGAAAAAAAAATCAATTATGAATGAAATTATTCGAATTACAAATGAAAAAATTTCAATTACAAAATATGTTCAATTACGAAGAACAAAAATTCGAATTAAAAATGAAAAAAATCGAGGTTTTTCCGAATTACATATTCAAAATGTTCTTTAAAAATTTTTGGAAATTGGATAATTCGAATTTTAAATTAAATAATTTAAATCAAAATTGTAAATGATACGATTTAAAAATTAAATGAAAATGAATTTCTCGAATTACCATTGAAATGTTACGAATTATAAACAGAATTCTCGAATTACCAATGATTTGTATTTGCTGTTTTGAATTACATATGAAAAAATGTCTATTACAAATGAACAAATTCGAATTACAAATGGAAAAATTGGAACTGAACATGGATTTTCTTTTTTTTTTTTTAATCCGAATTTCAAATGGGAAAATTCGAATTTCAAATGAAAATATTCGATTGACAAACGAAATATCTCCAACTTTAAATGGAATGAAACGAATTTCACATGAATTTTTCAAATTAGCATTGAAATATCACAAATTACAAACAGAGTCCACGAATTCCAAATAAAATGTTTCGACGACGAATAACAACCCAAAAAGGGGATGTCTCTCCCCATCATCACACTCACCAATCAGCTGCATGATTCGCTTGATCCGTCGAGGCGGGCAGTGGTGTCAGCAGTCGACTAACCTGTAGCCACACGGCACAGTACAAATCCTTGTTTGTACCACCCTCCAGATTGGGTATCAGCAAAGGCACTCCAAAGATACTGGGTCGCGTTTTATGATGTGACAAAAAATAGCTATCCTGTCGTGTGATTTTACGATGCAAGGCCATTAGATATTTTCCGACTTTATAATGCTGCGATGGCATGCGGGAAAACAAACCACCATCCATGCCATTCAATGGCATACCACCACCAAAGGAATCATTCAATTCCTGTTTCAGGAAATTTTGTCGATTTATTTCCGACTCCATTAAACGTTGGGCATTTGCCTCGTCGGCGGTATTATTCAAACGGCATGGACACTCACTTAAACGGCGCAAACCACCCTCGCACATCACCGGCGCTGCCGAACTGGGTGTTTCGGAATTATTGGAATTATTTATAACAGCCGGATCACAGGTAGAACTTTCCATGGAATTTTCACCGGAATGTGTAGCCGTCGCAATGGAGGATGAGGAACAAGTGTTTGGTTCTGTGGTTGTGCCATGCAACAGCTTGGAGGTGGAAATATTTTTTTGCAAACTGCCTCCATTGACGAAAGTGTTCTCGGGGCTACGACTTACATTGGAGGTGTGCTGTAGCACAGAGAGATAATATTATTAGAAAATTTGAAAAAAAAAAGAGATATTTTATTTTTAAAAATTAGCATTTGTTTGCACAGGACTAAAATTAGAAAAGAGTATGAAAAGCAATTGTGCTTTGGGTTTAGGATAGGGAATAGAATAATAGAATAAAAGAAGCTCAATAAATTGTTAAAATGTTTATGGCAATGAAGAAAATAAAATAACAACAACTCTTCACCTATTAAGCCAAGTGCAATAACAAAAGCGTTTAAAATTGGTGATATTAAAAAAAATTAAATAATAATTAGTTGGGATAAACGCTCAAAAGAAAAAGCCTTTATTTGAATATTTACAAAGCACGTTTGCTCCACACCATAATTAAAAAAGGAAGAGGAGCCTGTTTCTGCATGACGCTACGAATGTTGGGGGAAAAGAAAAACAACATTCCAAAGGTTGTTTTTTGGAAAATACTCATTTGGAATGGCAATTTTCTTTCCGCATTCACCTTCATATCGCCATTACAGAGCACTGACCCCAAAATCTAAGTACAGGCCTATAATCACATCATCAAATGAGTGGTAATGGCTACCTCGCATTGGATGTTGTGGTGGCATAGGCCCCGAAAATCAAATCAAATTTTACTAAATTAATGATCTACATTTTATAAAAATTAAAAAAAAAGAAAACAAATTAATCTGCTACTATTGCTACACCACAAATTAAGGAACTAAAAAAACCAAATTATTTCAAAATTTAAAAACCGAAAGTGCTCTACAGTGATTATACGGTTCCAGCTAATTTACAGCACACTCAACGGAACTACACATTTATAGTTTTGGAGAATTAATTTGAAAAATGATAATAATTTATACACAAAGATGTACAATTTTCTGGAAAGAGGACAAACCAAATCCACTTCCCTAAGAAATGTTGGAATCTAACCAAAAAACCAATAATCGTTATTATCAACGTCGGTTAAAAATACAATGTCGTCACAGATATTCTCTTAAAACGACAGCCCTAATACCGTTTTTATCGCCTCAACTTCATTTTGCGACGTCGACGACGACAACGGTAATAGGGCCGAATCTCTTTCAAAATACGACGTTTCAAAATAATTACAGGGAGGAAGTCATTGATCTCACCCTTGCTAACGAGAATGATTCGCTTATACCGGACTGGAAGGTCTACTTTAGGTGTTCCTTCTTCGATCACTGGAAGATAATTTTCCAGATCGCTGTAGAAAACATTCATCAAAAACCACATACTCTTCACAAGGATAAGGAATATAACTGACATTGTATTGCTATATCACAAACGCCACCTCTAACGGAGACAAGGTAAGGACATTTATTGTTGCAAAGAAAAAGATAAACGTAATCTTTCTAAGTAATTTGAGGGGAGGAGATATTTCGGCGTTTAGAAAGCAGACACACTCTGGCAGAGTATTGATCTTCAATGCCCTCTACGTGCCGTATAAGCAACCCGACCCGCCAGGTGGAGCTGGAAAGCGTAGTTCGATGTTATGCCAATGCTCAGCCTTTTCAAAGGGAGATATTACGGCATTGAGAACGCAGCAGACACACTCTGGCAGAGTATTGATCTTCAATATCCTCTACGTGCCGTATGAGCAACCCGACCCGGCAGGTGGAGCTGGGAAGCAAAGGCCATCTCGTAGTTGGATGTAATGCCAATGCTCAGCCTTTTCAATGGGACAACAAGGACACAAATACCAAAGGTCATAATCGGCCCAATTACGGATGTCATTTCTATAGTCGTCGTCGACGTTATGTGCAAGTCGCCATCGCTTCGATTCAAAAATGGTATTAAGTAAGTATGGTAAAGCACAGAAGCGACATCGACAGTTTAAAACCAGTAAACAAAGTCTAATGTCGGGCGGGACCGACTTTATGATACCCTACACCCCTTTGCATCAAATTTGCATATTTAGTAAAGCTTCATATAAAAAAAATCTGATGAACAATATATATGGGATCTATAGCTATATCTGAACCGATTTTCACCAAATTCGACATACTTGTCTCTAGACCCAATTTTGTCGTAAGTGCTAAATTCTATCCCATTTGGGCTAATAATACACGTTTGGTGCTCAATAAGAGGCAAATCGGACGAAGATACATGTATGGGAGCTATATCCAAATCTGAACCGATCTCAATAAAATTTGGAAAGGTTATTTCTCAGCTGTATTTTATATATTTCCCCGAATATCGTTACTACCGAGAGTGCATATTACGTCTGTGCAGGACAAATTCAACAAATCGGATGAATAATATATATGGGAGCTATAGCTATATATGAACCGATTTTCACCAAATTCGACACACATGTTTCTAGACCCAATTTTGTCGTAAGTGCCAAATTCTATCCCATTTGGGCTAATAATACACGTTTGGTGCACATTAAAAGGCAAATCGGACAAAGATATATGTGAGAGCTACATCCAAATCTGAACCGACCTCGATGAAATTTAGCGAAGATATTTCTGAGCTGTATTTGATATATTTCCCCGATTATTGTTGCTACCGAGTGCATATTACGTCTGTGCAGGACAAATTCAACAAATCGGATGAATAATATATATGGGAGCTATAGCTATATATGGACCGATTTGCACCAAATTTGACATACTTGTTTCTAGACCCAATTTCGTCGTAAGTGCCAAATTCCATCCCATTTGGGCTAATATTACACGTTTGGTGCACAATAATAGGAAATTCGGACGAAGATATATATGGGAGCTATATCCAAATCTGAACCAATCTCGATAAAATTTGGGAAGGGAATTTCTAAGCTGTATTTACCAATTTTGTCGTAAGTGCCAAATTCTATCCCATTTGGGCTAATAATACACGTTTGGTGCACATTAAAAGGCAAATCGGACGAAGATATATGTGAGAGCTACATCCAAATCTGAACCGACCTCGATGAAATTTAGCGAAGATATTTCTGAGCTGTATTTGATATATTTCCCCGATTATTGTTGCTACCGAGTGCATATTACGTCTGTGCAGGACAAATTCAACAAATCGGATGAATAATATATATGGGAGCTATAGCTATATATGGACCGATTTGCACCAAATTTAACATACTTGTTTCTAGACCCAATTTCGTCGTAAGTGCCAAATTCCATCCCATTTGGGCTAATATTACACGTTTGGTGCACAATAATAGGAAATTCGGACGAAGATATATATGGGAGCTATATCCAAATCTGAACCAATCTCGATAAAATTTGGGAAGGGAATTTCTAAGCTGTATTTCATATATTTCCCCAAATATCGTTGTTACAGAGTGCATATTACGACTGCGGAGGACAAAAATAACAAATCGGATGAACAATATATTTGGGAGCTATAGCTATATCTGAACCGATCTTCACCAAATTTGGCATACTTGTTTCTAGGCCCAATTTGATGGTAAGTTCTAAATTCCATCCCATTTGGGCTAATAATACACGTTTGGTGCACAATAATAGGGAATTCGGACGAAGATATATATGGGATCTATATCCAAATCTGAACCGATCTCGATGAAATTTAGCGAAGATATTTCTGAGCTGTATTTGATATATTTCCCCGAATATCGTTACTACCGAGTGTATATTATGTCTGTGCAGGACAAAAACAACAAATCGGATGAACAATATATATGGGAGCTATAGGTATATCTGAACCGATTTCGATACAATTTGGCATACTTAATTTCAGGCCTAATTTGGTCTTATATGTCAAATGCCATACTATATGGACTGATATTACACGTTTGCTGCACAGTAAAAGGCAAATCGGACGACGCCCAAAATGCAAGGCGCTAGTAACTTTTCTGGGTCCAGAGATAGTCTTTTCTGGGTATGTTCAATCGGCAACGCGAACTAAAGGTTTCCAAATTTAACAGTTGTTGTAAGTTGCCAGCCTTCCGGTATTTTCATAAGCTTTCAAATGATACTTATATTGTATATATCGGGTAAGTGGATCTGGGTTCTGAACCCGGATTTTCGGGGTCCCGTCCCCCAAGAAAAAATAGATTTTCTGAGACAGGGTAAAAATACCTACCTCTGAAAAATGTCGAAAAAAATCGAAAAGTTTTTACTAAACTAGAGTTGTTCCAATTGGCCACAGCATTGAGGTTTTTAGCGCTAGCGTCTTATTAGACCAGTGTCGGAAATGACTTCAATATTTCCAAATTGTTTTGCTGTTGTTATTTTCGTGGTCAAATATCAAACACAAAATGGTTAAAATATCAACTTCGACAAAAAAAAAAGAAAAAAACAATGTCCTTTTAATACCCCCTGCCATTTGGAACGGGGCATTATCACTTAAACGGACCTGCTCACGAAATTATCTGTCATAGGCTGCAATATCCATTACGAACTTCAAATATCAATTTTGAAACAATTCCGGTGAATAATGTCGCTAAAATCATCAAAATATGAAATATCGGGAGGTGCCGTTGTATGGTGCCTATAGAAAGACGTGAAACTGAACAGACAATTTTCTGTCTTAGGCTGTAGTCTCCATTGCGAACTTCAAATACGAAATTTGAAACAATTCCGGTGAATAATGTCGCTAAAATCATGAAAATACCGAATATAGGGAGGTACCATTGTATGGGAGCTACAGAAAGGCGTGGACCTGCACAGACAATTTTCTGTCATAGGCTGTAGTATCCATTACGAACTTCAAATACCAAATTTGAAACATTTCCGGTGAATAATGTCGCTAAAATCATGGGGACTATACGAAGGCGTGGACCTACATGGTCCATTTTCAATACCAAAAGTCCTGCAGACATAATATACATTTGAGTAAAATTGTATCAACCTAGTTCATTTCGTTCGGAAGCTAGAGTGATTTCCACAGACGGACGAACATCCCAAATCGACATTTTATGCTTATACTTTGTGGGGTCTAAAATGTTTGTTTCGAGATGTTACAAACGGAATGACAAACTTAATATACCCTCCGTACTATGGTGGAGGGTAAAAAAATTTTCACGTTTTGTACCTCTTATGGTCTTAGAAAAATTTCACAAAAAAATCACCATATGCAGCTCTCATAGTCCACGTTTTGTAACTCAAATAATGCATTTTTTTTGAAAGTTCACGTTTACAGATCGAAAAGTCCTTAAATAAATTCGTTAGAAAGTTCACGATTATAGCCTAGAAAGACCTTAACGAAAAACCTTTTTAAAATACCGAAAGCAGAATAAATAATATATATATCCTTTGTATCCATATGGCTGAGGATATAATTTGTATGTATTAATTTAAATTGTACATCATTGCGCCATTGTTTGCATTATAAAAAAAATTAACTAAATAAAAAACCAAAAATATTTACATCCAAAACCATATAACTAAATAGTAAAAAAAGGAACGGTTCGCTACTAGTGTAAACATTTGTATTTAATACGTATCACTTTTTGTTTTGTCCATTTTTCTTTTTTTTTTCTTTTTGTTTTTGTTTTTCACCATTTCTAAGTGAATTCCAATGAAACGAAAATGAAAGAGTTAATGGCTGCATTGAAACCCTTATTCCTATGGGATAATAATATGATGCACTGATGCTCTAACATTTAACGGCAAATTTGCTCTATTTTTCTTGAACAAATATTGTTTGAGAATTGTAAAAAAATATATATATTTGTTACGACACGACAACACAACGACGGCAGCAGCAAAGCCTATGTAATGCGCGTATTTATTCTTAACAATAAGAATATGTATTGAAAGATTTTTTGCTAACTGGTGGGGATGCAATGTGAATTTGGGGGAAAAATTGAAAATGGCAGTTCAAATATATTTGGGGATTTTTTACAGAGCGATATATTTTAAAATCGATAGGATAGCTGGGGTTTGTTGTTATTGCTGGTAAGAGTCCTTGGAAAATAGTTTGTATGACTTTGGAAAAATTTTCTGAAAATATTGACACTTTAGTCTCTAATACCTTCAAAGGTAAAAAATGTCCTTTAAAAACTGCGATAGTCCTTGTAGCAATACTCTTTAGAACAAGCAAAATAGTAGCAGTCGGTTTTGCTGAAAGATTTTTACCCCCAGCCTTGACATTTAAGTCTCTAATACCTTCAAAGGTAAAAAATGTCCTTTAAAAACTGAAATAGTCCATGTAGCAATACTCTTCTAGAACAAGTAAAATAGTATCAGAGGCCAACAGATTTATACGCCCAGGCTTGAGTTATGATTATTCAAACTATTGAAACTTTATGGGGAAAGTTCCGTAGCAACTGGACAATATTGATCAATTCGTGGCTGACCTAAGATTGATAAAAAAATATTACAATGTGTCAGATTTGGACTATATCGACTATTTCCCATACTTTATATGAGATATGTGCAAATTTTTGGAAAATGTGGAAATTTGCGCGGACCGAAGTATTCCATTTTCATACTTCATCTAATACAGATACAAATAATGGTATGAAGGAAATCGAACATTTATATCCAATTTTATGCGAAATCATAAATTCCATATTTATCTCAGGTTTCTGGTTGAGAGAAATATTTAGATAAGCAAATTGTAAAGAATCGGCGATTTGTTTCGCAAGTCATGACAGTTATAAGTATTGGAAATTGTGACCCTTTGTGGTTGAGGTACCAGAAGGGGTTCACAGATTTTTATTTACTTCAATTCATTTGTGATACATATCATCTTCACAACAGGTTAACAAAAACTTTTGGATTTGTGAAAAATGAAGAGAGTTGGATGTTTATCTCGATTTCTATGAGCGGTTTGTTATTCAAAATCTGGAACCCTATGTGGAGGAGGTACCAAAAGGAATGGTCCGATCTCTACCATCTTTTATACATATCTTGTGTTGAAAGAAATAATGAGATGTGCCAGGTCCGAATGGAATCGTGTATTAATTTCGTGTTTTATGAGCATCATGAATATTCAAAATTTTGACCCTTTGTGGGGGAGATACCAGAAGGAGCGGACCGAAATATTCCATTTTCACACCAGACCTTGGGTTAATAAAAATATTGTGATGTGTGTAATTTGAAGAGAACCGGACGATCAAAATCTTAACCATTTGTGAGGGAGGTACCAGAAGAAATGGTCCGATCTCTACCATCTTTAAAACAGCTCTTGTGTAGATGGAAATATCGAGATGTGCCAAGTCTGAATGGAATCCGATGTTAATTTCGCGTTTTATGAGCTCCAAGGATACTCACAATTTTGACACTTTGTGTTGGAGGTACCAGAAGGAATGAACCGATCTGTACCATATTCACAGCAGATCTTGGATTAATAAAAATATTGCCATGTGTGTAATTTGAAGACAACCGGATGCTAATTTCGGATTTTATGATCGTTTTTGTTATTCAAAATCTTAACCCTTTGTGAGGGAGGTACCAGAAGAAATGGTCCGATCTCTACCATCTTTATAGCAGCTCTTGTGTAGATGGAAATATCGAGATGTGCCAAGTCTGAATGGAATCTGATGTTAATTTCGCGTTTTATGAGCTTCATGATTATTCAAAATGTTTACCCTTTATGGGGGAGGTACCAGAAGGAGTGGACCGATATTGTCCGTCTTAACATCAGACCTTGGGTTGATAAAAATATAGGGATGTGTGAAATTTGAAGACAATCGGACTCTTACATCACATTTTATAAGACTTATAAATATTCAAAATTTTGACACTTTGTGGGGGAGGTACTTGATGGATTGGAGCGACATTGCCCATTTTCGCACTTACTGTAGCACTGATGCAAATATTAGGATTTGCAAAGTTGGAGCAAAATCGGATTATCCTTTCTTGTTCTGTGCAGTAAATTATTTTATTTGAAAATTTTGACATTTTGTGGGGGAGGTACCGGAAGCAGTGGACCGATGTTGCCCATCTTCAAACCCGATCTAAGTTTGACAATAATGTTAAGATGTACCAAGTTTGGATCAAATCGGATACTCCCTTCGAGAGGTATCATGCGCACCAGCCAGACAATCGGACGGACGGACATCGCTAGATCGACTGGAAATGTCCTGAAACGGATTTGGTCCAAAGAAAACATTTTTCATGGACCTCAGGGACCCAAGCATTTTTATATAAAAACAAGTAAAAAAGCTGTAAGTTCGGCCGGGCCGAACTTTTAATACCCTCCACCATTTGGTACAAATTTGGCAATTTCCAAAAAAAAAAAAAAATAAATAAATAAAAAAGTCCGTTCAAAATTCTGTTAAAATCTTTAAAATACCGAATGCCTATACGATGACCTATGGTCTAAAATCGTTATTTCGAAGTGGTACGTTTTGGCCGTATCAAGTGATATATACCCTCTCTAGCCATATGGCTGAGGGTATAATTATCCTTCCTCTTTTTGTGCAGTAAATTATTTTCTTTGAAAATGTTGACATTTCATGTGGGAGGTACCAGAAACAGTGGATCGATGTTGCCCCTCTCCGAACTAGATCTAAGTTTGATAATAATATGACGATGTACCAAGAGACAGACAGACAGACGGACGGGCATCGCCAGATCGACTCCAAACGTCCTGAAACGGATTTGGTTCAATGAGACCTAGGGTCTAAGACCGTTATTACGATGAGGCACTTTTTGGCCGTATCAAATGATACATATATACCCTCTCCAGAAATATGGCAGGGTATAAAAATAGGAGGCCTTCGTATTTTCTCTCTGGAATAATTATTCAAAATATATATTCAATTTTACATCTATATTTAGGATAGTTCTTTAATAATTATGTCCATTTTAATCGTTTTAAAATTGGACATTTTAAAGCCAAGCTAGTCCTTCAAAAAACGAACATTGAAACCTCTCCCAAACTCTCTGAAAATATTCACAACTTCTCAGGGAAATAATTGTTACCAAATGCGAAATCATGTTAAGCTGGAGAAACAACATGTTTTAGCCAGACATAATTTTGAAATTTAACTACTCATCTTCAGCATTGCATCCCCTGGTGCTTTGGATATTTTATCGAAAAAAAAGAGATATAATGTATATACGTTATTAAATACAATAAATGTTTGCAATTTTAAAAACTATAGCCATACCTTGAAGCATAATAAAGTCTGGGGCATGCACATATTGTTTCCAAAGCACCGCCTTACCTTCGTTGATACATGAATGTCATCGTCTTCGGTTTCATCACCGTCATCGTGGCCACAACTGCCGCCACCGATAACGGTCATGGGAACATTATCGAAACTATTGTTCTGATAGCGTTGTTGCAGTGCCGAGGATTTTGATGTGGGCTTAACATTTATTGCTGCCGACTGACTAGGTTGTGGTTGGGCCGTTGGTGCTGGTGGTGGTGATGTTGGCAATTGAGGAGGAGCAACCATTTCCTCAAATGATGTTTCGGCATATAGGATTCTATCACCACCATTTAAATTGGAGTTATTGGAAATTGTGTTTGTGGCGGTGGTGGTCGCGCCATTACCGGTGGAATTATTTATTGCATTTAGTGAGGAAAAGGAATCATATGCCGTCAACATGGCTGCTATAAAAAGGGAAATCGTTATTTTGTTTTTAATTTTAAAAGCTTTGTAACTTACCCGAACTCCTTTGTATATCCTTTAGGCCCTTTTCAATATTTACACCCATAGTTGAACTGGATCTGGAACGATCTTGACACTCTTCGGGCAATTGATAGCAATACAACTCCTTGGCTGCCGTCGGTTTGATTTTCTCCTCGTCGGGAAAAATGTGCCGTATTTGGGAATTCCATATTTCACAGATTAACATGAAATTGGGATTTAAATATGACACACAAGCCAGTTTGCGTTTCAAATCGAAATATTTACATTCGGAGTTGAGACGCAGGCCGTATTTTACGGGCACGGACCCATCAAGGAGTATAACTGGGGAGGGAAGAGAAAAAACAATATTTTCAAAAAGCACAAGAAAAAGACCTCCAAAATCCCTTAGACATCTGTCTAGTGACAACTTACCCAAAACCTCAAAGTAAATATAGTTCTCCACCGGTAGCGGCAAACTAAGCAAACTGAAGGGATCAAAACGCACCGATTCCCGGCCACAGCACATGCAGCTAACTTTCGATTTTAGCTGACCATAGAATAGATCAATAATTATCGATTGATTGCGGGCATGATGTTGAGACCATGCCTCGGCGGCAACAATTTTGTCCGGTCTGCCATTGGAATCTTTCAGCTCGCTGTATGGTTTCTCCATAACCCGATTTAAATCTTCATGCAAAGCATCCAACAGCCATTCCAGCAATTCTTGGGAATCATGTTGACCACCACCCGCAAAACGAGGGGCATACTTGGTGACAACAAATCTAAGTTTAAGAGGTGCCACCGAACGTGCTGTTGCACTCCAAACCTCCTTTAACAATTCACCATAACGTGTGGCCAAATTTCCACGTGTTCCCAATTTATTGGTGGTATTCAATTCGAATAAATGCATATTTTGACGAAAATATTGAGCCAAAGGTTGAGTATTGAAGAGTACCTGTAGTGAGGCATTCATAAAACAGGTATTGCCCAAATTGTGTAGACCTGTGGCACCGGGTGATTGCAGCGACATTATGGAGGTGCGTGTTAAACGACGATCATTTATGGAAGATCCTCCAGATTGTGTCTGACACAGCGAACCCAATTCCTCGGGCCATGTTTGATCTTTGTTGCGTATCTCCAAGAGAATTTGATCGTTGTCCTTTATCATTAGCTCTTTTAGCGTCATACTATCCTCTTCCAATAAAATGGCACTGTTGTCCACATTACCCGAGGGAATGTGCCACAAGCGTATATCATCGGAACGCAAACGCAACTGTTCACAGAGGAAGGCCGCCACTTTTTGTACCGTGGCCAATCGACTAAAAGCTGCTGTATAGGCCAAATAACGTTTAGGCTGTTGCAGGACATTGGGCGATGAAATGGCCGCAAATCCTCCACCGGAAGCAATGACACCATAACTACCTACAATTAAATTGGGGGAGTTAAAAAAAAAAAACAATTCCAAACTATGGAGAATTTCAAAAACTTACTTGTCATGGCTCCCCAATTATTGGCCATTTGTTGTTGCTGTTGTTGTGGCACAATCTGATGTAACAATATCCTCAAATTTAAAGGATATAACTCCAACTCAACCTGATTCGTATTTGGTGGCTGTATGACCTGCCGTGGCAGTGGTAAATTATCACCATACCATCGATTCAAAGCCTTCCACAATGATTTGGGAACCAGTTCGAAATTATGATTTTGTACCAAGGGGGTGTCTCGTTTCAAATGGCCACCCTCTCCGGTAAGGGTGCGAACATTCTTGTAGGGATTGGGGGTAACAAGATTGGTATTATCTATGGGGCCGGGGCGGGCACCCATCTGACGACATGATGAGATGCCACTGCTGGAAGAGCCTGAAGGGGAAAAAGTGAAAATTTCAAAATATTTTCAAATTCTAGGTAGAATTACTTACCTAAACTACAATTATCTGCCGAAACGGCGCCGCCCAAGTCACCGCACACTGCCACCGAATCCAGGGAATTTGTATTGAACGTCTCATCACAGACCACCGCCTCATCGATGCCGGAAAATGATGTCCTCTGATATGTGCCGTTCGTGGTGTTTTTACAATATTCACAAGAAACGGTGGTATTGTTGACATAATGCAGCCATTGGATCCACCAGTCCCGCGATATTAAATACCAAAATTGTCCAACTGTGTATTTACGTTTCTCCTCACGATCCAGCCAACCTCGAACTGAAAAAAGACAATTTTTTGGAAATATAATAATTTTTTAGAATTCAAAAAAAGGCAATAATGGATCCTACCAATATCATGTTCCATATGGCGACATTGGGGCCACAGGCCAAACACAATGTGACACACCTCAAATATTAAGTCCAAAAAGGGTTGTAACAATTTCAAACTGCTTTCCACATTCCACATCATAAAGTCCTCAGCGGTAAGGGTTATGGTCATATCGGCCAACTGTTTGGAATCCTTTATAGAAGATAAAATAAATTCTAAATATATCTGAGATAATCTAACTTTTTCATTTTCCTCACCATCATTTTATTGTCATTGACTCCAGCTGTTCCACCACCCTTTTGATTGGTGAAATTGACAATGTCCCGTAAAGCTTCTTGTTTGGTTATATCTTTGTACATATCAACATTACGATTCTCTTTGGCCACATACAGCAGAACATTTATCATTTGCAGCGTTTCAGAATGACTGAGCACACCATCGCTATCAACATCGAATATTTTGAAACAAACTGCAAACAAAGATATTAGGAAATTAAAAAAATTCAAATCAAAAATGCATTCTCTACTTACATCGAGTTCTCTCCACCCCGGGTCCACGACAAGCTGCACTGACACCACAGCATAATTCCTTGAAATCAATGTGACCGTCACGATTCTCATCGAAGGCATTGAAGAGACCTTGTAGCGCATGTTTTGGTATTGGCGGACTAAGTAAGGGTGCCAAAAATAACCGATCTAATTGACCATTTGGTGAGGAGTTTTTTAAACGCCAAAACTCCTTTTCCAAGTCGACAATGTCCTGGAAAAAAGAGGGTAAGGGAACAAAAATTGTAAATTTTGGAAGAACTAGTCAGTCGATTTTGCCGACAGATGTATACCCCCAACCTTGAGTTATGATTATTCAAACTGTTGACTCTTTATGGGGAAGGTTCCAAAGCAGTAGGCCAAATGACGAAGGTACCAGAAGGGGTTGGCAGTTATATATCATTTTCACAACAGATCTTGCGTTAGCAAAAATATTTGGATGTGTGAAATTTGAAGAGAGTTGGATGCTTATTTCGCTTTCTTTAAGCGTTTGGTTTTTCAAAAGCTTGAACCCTATATGTGGGAGGTACTGAAAGGAATGGTCCGATCTCTACTATCTTTATAACATATATTGTGCAGATGAAAATATTGAGACATTCTAAGTCTGAATGGAATCGGATGTTAATTTTCGTGTTTCACGGGTATTCAAAAATTTTGACCCTTTGTTGGGGAGGTACCAGAAGGAGTGGACCGATATATTTCATCTTCACACCAGACCTTGGCTTAATTAATATATTGTGATGCGTGTAATTTGAAGAGAACCGGAAGCTTATTTCGAATTTTATAATCGTTTTGGTTATTCAAAATTTTAAACCTTTGTGGGGGAGGTACCAGATGGACTAGTCCGATCTCAACAATCTTTATAACAGATCTTGTGTTTATGGAAATATTGAGATGTACCAAGTCTGAATAGAATCGGATATTAATTTCGTGTTTTAAGAGCTTCATGGTTATTCACAATTTTGACCCCTTGTGGGAGAGGTACCAGTAGGAGTGAACCGATATATCCCATTTTCACACCAGACCTTGGCTTAATGAATATATTGTGATGCGTGTAATTTGTAGAAAACCGGAAGCTTATTTCGAATTTTATAATCATTTTGGTTATTCAAAATTTTAACCCTTTTGTGGGGGAGGTATCAGAAGGAGTGGACCAATATATCCCATTATTACACCAGGCCTTGGGTTAATAAAAATATTGTGATGTATGTAATTTGAAGGCAAGCGGAGACTTACTTTCGATTTTGGAGGAGTTATAATTATTCAAAATTTTGACCCTTTGTGAGGGAGGTACTTGATGGAGTTAAAAGATATTTTCCATTTTCGTACCTGACCTAGCACTGATGCAAATATTAGGATTTTCAAAGTTGGAGCAAAATCGGACTATCCTTTCTGTTTTTGTGCAGTAAATTATTTTCTTTGAAAATTTTGAAATTTTGTGGGGGGAGGTACCCTGAAGAAGTGGACCGATATTGCCCATATCCGAACTCGATCTTAGTTTGACAATAATATAACGATGTCCCAAGTTTGGATCAAATTGGAATACTCCCTTCGAGAGTTATCGTGCACACCAGCCAGCCAGACAGACAAACGGACATCGCTAGATAGACTACAAATGTCCTGAAACGGATTTGGTTCAAAGATGAGGTAAGTTTTGACCGTATCAAATGATTTGTTGAGCCATGACGCTCTCCTTATCTTAGCCAATGTTCTATTCCAAATTTAGTTCCCAGATTTATGTGTCAAAGGACCATTAACCTTCTTTAAAAGCTGACCAATTCATAGTTTTCATTGAAAAACAAAGCAAATGGAGTTCTTTGTTTTGATCCTTTGTGCAGATGCAAATGCTATGCACATGAAAGAGGATGGATGAAATAGATGTTATTGCATTTACAAAACAAACGAAAGCAATTTTAGATTCTAGGAATGTCATGCGCATTATAAAAAAAAGTAAATAACAAAGCATATTTTTCTTTGAGGGTTGGGGATTGTTTACCTTCTCCTCCAAATGTGTTACACCCGCTAAACTTTGATAGAATGTTGGTGTTTCCAGTTCCGATGTTAGGGAAATACAATTATCGGATAACAGCCATTTGGATAGGACCGTTGAGGTGCGATTTTTCAGTAACCACGCTTGAAACTGTTCAAAATTAATGCGATCTGTTTGGGCAAACAAGGATGCATTCTCGTAGGGCAATAAGTTGAGGGCTTTTGTAAAATCCGATTTCAGGATATAGGTACCGCTATCGTTGCAATAGAGATTCCACAGAAATCTGGAAAATAAGGAGCAAATATTAGCACTGCAATATTGGCAAAAATTCAAATCATAACTACCTTATTTTCTCATCTTCGGTACCTTTTGTTATTAGAACCAAACCACATAACAAATCTTTGAAAGATATGCCCTTATTCGTACCGCCACAGGCTGTGTACAAAAGATCTGTGACATTGGCCGGAACACCCTCGAACAAGACATCCTGTTGGAAGGCATTGCGGCTAAGATAAAAACGTCCAACTCCAGCTGATTTCTTGAAGGCTTCTTTCAGGCGCCTTAACTCCGATTCAGAGACTAGAAAAAATAAAACAAAATAGAACAACAAATAATTAATCAATTACTATGTTAAAAAGTCAGCAATACAATAAATGATAAAAATCACAATAGTTAAATGTATTAACCAAATAATGTCTTGTACAAATTATTGGAAATCGTATTTAAAGTTATTGCTTGCTCAACCCCCACCCCACCTCTCCCATACTCTACTATAGCTTTTTTAAATAATGAATCACTGTTTCGAAATCTTATCTTATATTTGCCAAAGAACCTTATGTAGAATATTGACATAAGCAGCATGTATTATTAATTTTATACATTTATTGTCGAGGGGCCCCTGTGCCACTTCTAAATCTGTTCTGATCGATATTTATTTTTGTTATTATTAAAAAGGATTTGTTTTTCGCCACGTTTTTGCGTATAAAACAAATATTGCCTAATTAATTTTATTTCTGTTTAACAATTGATAGTGAAAGTGTATGGATATCATAAGGGGGAGTGGGTTGGAATGAGCCTAATGGGCTTTGCCGTGAAAAAAATAAGAAATGACTCATTATCAGACTTAATTTGGGGTTCCCTGGGCGAATTTTTTAGGTTAGGAAAGGGAAATACCTTTACAAAATATCTCATGCAGGATTTTTCCATGGCAAAGGCGGAGGATAAAAATGTACCAGAGAAAAAAAATCAACCCGAGATTGTTACGGATAAGACAGTTTAATTGGGAAAGATTTGTGGATAAACCCGTATGTAGAGAAAATGTTGCTGATAAATTATTTTCGTGGAGAAATGTTGAAATATTTTGGGGAGAATATATAGCGGATAATATATATTTTCGATGAGAAACATTTGAGGTCAAATATCTTCTTCGCGGAGAAAAAGTTGCGGATAAAATAATTACGTAGAGAAAATATTTCGGATAAAATATTTTTGTGGAGAAAAAGTTGCGGATAAAATATTTATGTGGAGAAAGTATTGCGGATAAAATGTTTTTTTTAAGAAAATGTTGCGAATAAAATATTGCCGTGGAGAAATTGTTGCGGATAAGGATTTTTGTAGAGAAAACGTTGCGGATGAAACATTTTCGTGAGAAAATGTTGCGGATAAACATTCGTGGCGAGGAAATTGAGGATAAAATGTTTTCGTGGAGAAAATGTTGCGGATAAAATATTTACGTAGAGAAAATGTTGCGGTTAACATATTTTTGTGGAGAAAATGTTGCGGATAAAATATTGGGGATACAACATTTTCGTGGAGAAAATTTGTTGCGGATAAAAAATTTTTATAGAGAAATTGTTTGTGGATAAAAAAATCTTAAAGAAAATGTTGCGGATAAAGCATTTTCGCAGAAAAAAGTTGGGCATAAAATATTTACGTAGAGAAAACGTTTCGGATAAAATATTTTTGTAGAGAAAAGACTGCGGATAAAATATTTTTGGAGAAAAATATATTTTCGTGGAGAATTTGTAGCGGATAAAGCATATTCGTTAATATAATGTTGCGGATAAAAGATTTTCGTGGAGAAAATGTTGCAGATAAAATACTTACGTAGAGAAAATGTTGCGGATAAAATATTTTTGTAGAGAAAACGTAGCGGATAAAATATTTTTATAGGAGATATTATATTTTCCTGGAGAAAATGTTGCGGATAGATCTTTTCGTTGGGAAAAAGTTGCGAATAAAACATATTCGTGGAGAAAAGGTAGCGGATAAAACAATTACGTTGAGAAAATGTTGCGGATAACATCATTTTGTGGAGAAAAGATTACGGATAACACATTTTTGTAGAGAAATTGTTGCGGATAAAATATTTTTGTGGAAAATGTTGCGGATACAACATTTTCGTGGAGAAAGTGATGCGGATAAAATATTTACGTAGAGAAAATGTTGCGGTTAAAATATTTTTGTGGAGAAAATGTTATGGAAAGCATATTTTTGTAGAGAAAATGATGCGGATAAAATATTTATGTGGAGAAAATATGTTGGGGATACATTTTCGTGGAAAAAATATTGCGGATAGAAAATATTCGCGTAGAATTTGTTGCGGATAAAACATTTTGTAAAGAAAATGTTGCGGATACAACATTTTCGCGGAAAAAAGTTGTGGAGAAAAGGTTGTGGATAGAATATTTTCGTGGAGAAATTGTTTGCGGATAAAATATTTTTGTAGAGAATATGTTGCGAATAAAATATTTTTATAGAAAAATTGTTTGTGGATAATAAATGTTCGCAAAGAAAATGTTGCGGATAAAACATATTCGCGGAGAAATTGTTGCGGATAAAATATTTTTGTAGAGAAAAGACTGCAAATAAAATATTTTTGGAGACAAATATATTTTTGTGGAGAATTTGTAGCGGATAAGCATTTTTGTGAATAAAATATTGCGGATAAAAGATTTTCGTGAATAAAATGTTGCGGATAACATATTTTTGTGGAGAAAATGTTGCGGATAAAATATTTTTGTAGAGAAAAGGTTGCGGATGAAACATTTTTATAGAAGAAAAGTTTCGTCCAAAACGTTCTTCTTAGAGAAATGATGCGGATAAAACATTTTCGTGGAGAAAATGCTGCGGATAGGATATTTTCGTGGAGAAAAAGTTAAAATATTCTCGGGGAGAATGCGGATAAAACATATTCGTGGAGAAAATATAGCAGAAATTATATTTTCGTGGAGAAAATGTTGCGGATAAACCCTTTTCGTTGGGAAAAAGTTGCGAATTAAGCATATTCGTGTTGAAAAGGTAGCGGATAAAATAATTACGTAGAGAAAATGTTGCGGATAACAACATTTTGTGAAGAAAATATTACGGATAACATATTTTTGTAGTGTAAATGTTGCAGATAAAATATTGATTGCGGATAAAATATTTTTGTGGAGAAAATTTGTGGAAAATGTTGCGGATACAACATTTTCGTGGAGAAAGTGTTGCGGACAAAATATTTACGTAGAGAAAATGTTGCGGTTAACATATTTTTGTGGAGTAAATGATGCGGATAAAATATTTATGTGGAGAATATATTAGGGATACAACATTTTCGTGGAAAAAATATTGCAGATAGAATATTTTCGCTTAGAAAATGTTGCGGATACAACATTATCGCGGAGAAAAGTTGTGGATAGAATATTTTCGTGGAGAAAAAATTGTGGATAGAATTTAGTGGAGAAATTTTTGTAGAGAAAATGTTGCGAATAAAATATTTTTATAGAAAAATTGTTTGCGGACAAAACATTGTCGCGGAGAAAACATTGCGGATAAAATATTTTTGTAGAGAAAAGACTGCGGATAAAATTTTTTTTGGAGAAAAATATATTTTTGTGGAGAATTTGTAGCTAAGTATTGTCAATTGTGACCCTTTTTGGTGTTGGCAAATATATCACAACAGATCTTGCGTTAGCAAAAATATTTGGATGTGAGGAGAGGTAGATTCTTATTTTGCTTTCTTTGAGGGTTTTATTTTTCAAAAATCTTGAGTCCTTTGTGGGGGAGTTACCAAAGGAAATGGTTTGATCTGTACCATCTTTATAACAGTTCTTGTGTTGATGGAAATATTGAGATGTGCCAAGTCTGAATTGAATCAGATGTTAATTTCGTGTTTTATGAGCTACATGGATACTCAAAATATTGACCCTTTGTGGGAAAGGTGCCAGAAGGAGTGGATCAGAAGGAGTGGATGATATATTCCATTTTCACACCAGACCTTGGGTTAATAAAAATATTGTGTTGTGTATAATTTAAGGAGAACTGAATGCTTATATCGGATTTCATGATCGTTTTGGTTATTCAAAACTTTGACCCTTTGTGGGGAAGGTACCAGAAGGAATGGTCCGATCTTCATAACAGATCTTGTGCTTATGGAAATATTGAGATGAGCCAAGTCTGAATGGAATCGGATGTCAATTTCGTGTTTTATGAGCTCCATGGATACTCAAAATATTGACCCTTTGTGGGGGAGGTACCAGAAAGAATGGTCCGATATATTCCATCTTCACACCAGGCATTGGGGTAATAAAAGTATAGTGATGTGTGTAATTTGAAGATATTCAGAATATTACTAAGAATGGTTACAAAATGAGGTTCCTTGTTTAATTTTCAGCCCACAGTGGCCACCAAAATCTCCGGATACCAATCCGTTGGACTATAGTGTCTGGAGTATTTTGGAAAGCAAAGTTGCCACTAAAAAATACCAAAGTGTCGAGCACCTCAAGCAAGCGCTTCGCCGGGAATGGGCCAAAACACCGCAGAGCAACATTCGGGCAACGTGTGACGGTTTCATTGGCCATAATTCAGGCCAAAGGTGACCAATTCGACCAAATCAAAACTTATTCTAAAATTTGATGCTATTTCCGACATTTTTTGCTTTCATTCAAAAAAAAATTAAAAAAAAGGAAAAAAATTATGGCGTTTGACTTTGTTGCATTTTTTTATCTCACCTTGTATTTTAAGTTCTTAACTGATTAAATTTAGTAAATTGGGTTACTAGTATATAATGTACTGAATTTTGCGTTCAATCATAAGGATATCAATTAAATATATTTATTAATTGTAGGTAGGTATCTAAGTCATTAGTTTCAATCGCAATTCCAGATTGCCAAACATTTTTGCATCCCGCAACAAGAGAAAAAAATCCCCCTCATGTCATAAACTTCATCCGACTTACAGGCAAAACAATAAGTCCACACGCACACTCACTCACACACCTTCAGTTGGGTTTTCTTCTTCGCGTATAAATTATTAAAAACAACAACAGAAACAAATTAACTAAAATCTATCATAGTAATCTAAGAATCAAAAATTAAAGAGACGTTGAAAAAGATTACGAAAACAATAATAAAAATTAGAAATAAAAGAAAAACTTGAAAACAACAACAAAGTTAATGATAAAAAAAATAAAGAACTCTACACTCTTGTTTGCCCTCTTCCCCATAAGGCAAAATAACCCATTTCATTGACCCCCTTTCGGTGTTGGCCCCGCGCTCTCCTATACACACACACACACACACACACACACACATGTAGTGGACATTGCAAAAGAAAGCAAAAACACCCCCACCACACCAGCTATCTTCATGGCCTCCACCACAAATAATAAGATGACTATAAATCACAAATAGATGAACCCCATACAAAAAGAAAATAATTAGCCAAGTTTTTTTCTTTGCTTACCTCTTTTGACTGCATCCTCATAACTAATGCAAGTCTGTTTTGATTCCTTTGCACCCATTTTGCTGTCTTTGCAAAATGGGTGGGGTGGTGGTTAATATCTGTAAATGGAAGTGCGGATGGCTAACTGCACCTGGCTGGTTGGTTGGCTAGCCAAACCAAAGAAAGAAAAAACAAACTTCAGTGGAATTCAAATTCCGGAGAGACGACACCTTACAAAAAACGCTGGCTTCGCTCGCTATATTCTCTGCGTTCTTCGTCGTTGTTTTTGTCGTTCATAAAAGAAGACAAACGAAATAACAATAACAAAAACTCATAGAACCCGCACGCACACACTCACGTATACTCCAAACTGCTGCCTTTGAAGCAGAGGCAGTTACAATACGAAAAAAAAACTACGTCTGTTTTTATTTCTCTTTTTCTTTCTTCACTTCTTTCTCAGGCCAATTACACGATTTTTTTTTTTCGTCTTATTAACACTTTATTTTTTTTATTTATTTTGTTTTTCATAACTTGCGTTCCAATTTCATATCCATTTTGCACAGGAATTCATTAGTACACCGTCTTGGCCAACTATCAATGTTTGCAATGCGACATTTTCACCATATTATTTTGGAAAATTATCATCTTATGACCAAAAAGAAATTTCATTGTAAGTTAACAATACTAGCTCTTCTTCTCGACTGTTGGGGCTGGTGGAGCGTTCACAGTGCATTGATAACACAAAAAACAAAGGGTCGGTGAAAACGAAATGAAAGGCGTTCGTTGTTAATTTATGCGCAATATTGAATATATAAATGGAAGTTGTTTGTTTTTAATTTAACAACGCAATCATGCCATGAAAGCAATACACTCTTAACACCAATTTGTGGTTTCTATATAATGATTTGTAAAGTACCTATTGAATATAATGCAAAATAGCTAAATTATAATAATAAAATATATATCTACAGAAACCCAAAACTTTATGTCACGTTTACATCGACAAGTCATCTGTCATTTTCGAGTTTTTTTCATAAATTGTGCGTAGTTTTAAACATGTTACAGTACGTTTACATATAAATGGGTTATCCCAATAGTTTTCGATTAAAATTGTCATATCAATTACGCATAACTCAAAATTATGAACCATATGACACAAGAACCAGGGAGAAAGCTGTAAAATTCAATCCAACTTAAATGTCTCATTTAAAGAATAACTGAAAATAAGATTTTCGTGCATGAAGGAAACATAGGATCAATCATGGTACAATAAAGAGGTAGAACAGCTTCGTAAAACTACAGAAATACAGCCCTGAGGCTATGCCCGCTTCCTGTCAGAATTATTCAAAATTATATCCAACAAGTTTTCATTTATTATATTTTTTGGTAATTTTTCAAATGCATCAAATAGAGCGAAAGGTGAATGAAATGCCTGGACGTTCTCTTAAAAATATGATCCTAAATTTTCAATCTTTTAAATCCGTGGCAAATTTGGTTAATATCATTAATGTGCGTCCCGCTATTTAATATTTTGTTTTTATTTTTCAAAACAATAAATACATACACAAAATTGACAGAAGTCGGGCACACTTAAAAAAAATTGTAATCAGCTGCTAGCTCTACCTTTCCTTATTATTGTACCATGGGATCAATTAGAAGTTAAACAATACAACCTACTGCTGGACAACGAATGTTTTCTTATCGGAGAAATCCAAATTCGGCAGTTCATCACTTTCGGCCAAGCCAAACAACTATTTAGCTCTTTTGAGTCTATTTTATTTCTGTTGCGGTGTAAGTTCTTGCACTTTTTGGAATTTCAATGGCTTTACCTCGAGCTCATTTTTCAATATTTTCTGAATGGAGTATTGCGATATGTTCAGCTCACGAGCCATTTTTCGGCCGCTTCTTTACTTTTCGAAACATTTCTGCTGATGTTACTGTTTTACTGTTTTCTTCCGCCCACTTTCTTGACGTCGGACTACGCTTTGGTTTTCCAGCCATGGTACAATGAAGAGAAGGTAGGTCAACTTTGAAAAAATTGCAAGTATAGAGATCTACCTGTTTGGCTTGTAATGTCAGAATTACTATCAAAACAATAAAAAAAGCAAACTTGTTGCATTGATTTTGAATAAATAATTTAAAACCGCGAAAACTGAATGAATGGTCAAAATTTCTTTTCAATATCATGTTCTATATCTCTTATGGTTTATTTCGCGACAAAAACTGTAGATTTTGTCGATGCATTCGTTGCAATAAGCATTTTGAAAACACCCGAATTTTAATATTTTCTGAACAATTTTTTTATTATTAATAAGAAGACACACACATAAGCAAATGAAGTTGACATATTAAGCCAGAAAAATAAAAAAAATTTAAATCATATGGTAGTTCTGCCCTACCTTGAATTCATTGTACCATGCATTGTACCATGTTTGGACCAATAATAAAACAACTTGACTAGTGGACATGCCACCTATATTGTAACAGGTCATCTAACAACAAAGTAGATGATGAATAACGAACAGAAAAATACAGAATTAAAAAGAAATGGAGTTACGAATGAGGAGAGAAAAACAAGGAGACGACGGTCAAGATAAAGTAAAATTGCTATGCACCCTCGATTCATGCAAAGGGAATTGATGACAGTGCTTCATCTTTTTCATGTGAACCTCTCAGTGCTTACATGATAACCAACCTTCTGGCAACACTTATCAACCACCATAAAGTCGTCGACGAAAAATTTTTGTAGACTGATTGTGTGGAAAGACTAGATTTTGATTTTGTCATCAGAGAAGTGTAAAGTAACAAGAAAAGGATTTCAAAGTTTGAGAATATACAATAATTGAAGAACGTCGGTGGTATTCGATTTATGTATTAAATAGAAACGATCGTGGAAAAATAGCAACAGCAACCATCCTCATCATCATCACAACATCGTCTACGTCGTCGTCAAATTGCTTGGTTGTTGGTTTTGTGTTGTATTTTTTCGTTGTTCGTTGCTCGAGAAGAAGTAACACGCATTCGCGCAGAAAGTGTTTTTTTATTTTATCAGAGAATAATGGCTAAGACATACGACTATCTGTTCAAATTGTTGTTAATTGGTGATTCTGGTGTTGGAAAAACGTGCATATTATTCCGATTCTCTGAAGATGCCTTCAATACAACATTTATATCGACAATAGGTGAGTTATTATGGTGTATCTTGCCAAATTGTTTGGTTGGCTGTTTGGTTGGTTGGTGGTTTTGGAGATGATATCAAATGAAATGATGGATGACGACTACGACGACGTTGACGTAGCCGCCGTCCGTCGTTGTTGTTGAAGATGGGTGACACGGACGGACGACGGACGGGGAACATATAAGTATATTGTGTATGATTGTACAAGTGTTCGTGTGTGTGTGTGTGTGTAGCAGAAAAAAGAAAAATAATATGCCCCGTCGTCTTGGCTGGAGAGTATGAGTAACAATGAATGAACAGAAAAATATTAAATTTATCCAAAAAAACAAAAATTATTGTAAGTTCCCCTGTAAGTGGTGATAGTGCAGAAACAAAAAAACAACACCAACAACATTGTCGTCACCCATTACATACTCTGGCTACCATGTACATTTATTTATTGAGAAAAAGTTGGTCGAAGAAAGGAGGGGTCTGCGACGTTGCTTCGTCGTCGTCGTCGTCACAGTGCTGCTATATATGTTAGGGATTGTTGTTGGCTACTGTATTGTTGTTGCTGTTGTGCCAGCTCCAAAGTCAAAGTACGATATATACAAAAGATAAACTTCCGCAACAAGATCCCCCCTCATTGATATAAGAAAACACAAATTCTCAATGAAACAATGAATATTATCTTTGTCCTAAACCATAACCATAGTGGAAAAATAGGGAGCAATTGCGGCGGCCTGTCTTGGCCATTCCCAAACAAATGTGGTGGTATGCCCTAAGCCTCCTCCCCTCCCCCCTTGTTATTCAAAAAGCCAAATGTATTTATAATTTCTTTTTCTTTTCTAGATTCTAAATGTGTAGAAAGACAAGAGCCACCTTGCAAAAAATATATAGAACAAGTAAACAAGATAAACAATTAAACATCTTCCCAAATAGTTTTCAGGGATTTGTCCTATATTGGCGAGTGATTATTTGTATACATTGGGATATGGCGTAATGTCTCGTAGGAATTTTATTTGATTTCTTTTTTTGGATTTGAAAAGGAATTGGCGGAAAAAAAGTCTTGACAATTGGACATACCTTCTGAATAGAGCCCAGATAATATTCGAATACAAACTGATGGTCAGAGATTTATTTTAAACCAGCTTAAGTCCATAGATTGGCTTACCATGGACGCCTCAAATGCATGTATTTACCACAGGTTGCCCTTATACATTCAATTATGGAAAAGTCTTTACATCTCATAGTTATAGGCCTAAAAGTTTGTTTAAAGCTGCTCTCATGAGACATTTTACTGCGAAGGGAATTTAGTATGGGTATTAGTTGAAGAATCAATCTATAGAGTCCCGGGTCCCAGTTTGATGACCAGTCTTTTATAAGCTAAGCGACATTGGGGCGTAATCGACCAATGTGGGTGTTGCTTCCCAAGGTATGCTGATACATATCTCCGAAACTGTTAAACCTCTACTTTGCCGGAATTCCTCCCCCACCCAAACGACATTGAGATCTTTATATATGCGGTTTACTGCACTATCGGATATCGGGTATTTTGGTTGTTAACATGTGTGTATGGCTGAACTTTTATCTCGTGCAGCTTGCTGCCTTGTTCCAAGCGAGGAATTTGCCACGAAGGCCCCAAACGCCACATTAGTTTCCCTAAAGATCCGTGGAAATGAGAACACAACCGAATGTACAGGCCTAGAGATAATTAATTTCCATCGTGAACTACACTAAAATCCTAATCCTATGCCTATACTTCCACGCGAGGAAAAATATCAGCCACGAAATCAACGACCACACTCTTTACCATATGGTCTGCGGAGATGAGAACACAGCTGAATGTGAAAATCGAGGGGAATTTAATACCGAACACGAACTACACCAAAATTCTAGGGGTCGACAGCATTGCTCAAGTCGTCCGCGCAAGCCATTGCTATCTGGGACAAAATGAAAAGTAGGAACAAGGTCCTTAAGGCGCTAGCCGGCAGCATCTGAGGTGCGGGCAAGGAAACCATGTTGACCTGTGGTCAGCTATGCGGCTCCAGTGTGGTCTGCGAATACTAGTGCTACGCAGTGGAAGTACATCCAGACCTGCGACAGGGTGCCTCCTCATGACACCAATGGACCATCTACATGAGGAGGCAAAAGTCCTCCCCTTATGTCAGCATAATCATATGCTTTCGTTGCAGTACCTGCTTGGGTGCTACCGTGAGAGTCATCATAACCATGATATGGCGTGTCAGAAAGGACATACACGATCTAGAGAGGTAGGTCCAATGCTATAAGAGAGAACCGCTAGACAAGAAGCCAATCAGACAGGTTTGAGTGGCATTCATACCGATGCAGTCGCAGATGCTATCAGCAATTACAGGATAAATGTCGTCCTCGGACTCCACCCCCGCCATCCATTGCAGCTGAAGACCCCAGCTGCCTAGACAAACCAGGGAAGTTTTGGCACAAAAACGTTCAGGATGGTGTAGTCGACTCAATTCGTATTGGGCACGAATTGGCGAAGATCTGCGTGACGCCTGCCCGGCGTGTGATACAGGCGCGCACAATACGCTGCACCTTTTTAATTGCACAGCCAAACCTACCCAACTCACTCCAGAAGATCTCTGGCTACAGCCTTCGTATAGCCTCCATATAACGGCACCCCCCGATATTCGGTATTTTGATGATTTTAGCGAAATTGTTCAACGGAATTGTTTCAAATTTTCGATTTGAAGTTCGTAATGGAAACTACAGCCTAAGATAGAAGATTGTCCGTGCAGGTTCACATCTTCCTATAGCCCCTTATAACGGTACCTCCCGATATTCGGTATTTTAATGATTTTAGCGACATTATTCACCGGAATTGTTTGAAATTTGGTATTTGAAGTTCGTAATGTATACTACAGCCTATGGCAGAAAATTGTCGGCACAGGTCCACATCTTCATATAGCCCCTTATAACGGTACCTCCAGATATTCAGTATGTTAATGATTTTAGCGACATTATTCATTGGAATTGTTTTAAATTTGGTATTTGAAGTTCGTAATGGATACAATAGCCTATGACAGAAAATTATCTGTGCAGGTCCACGTCTTCGTATAGCCCCCATATAACGGCACCTCCCGATATTCGGTATTTTAATGATTTTAGCGACATTATTCACCGGAATTGTTTGAAATTTGGTATTTGAAGTTCGTATTGGATACTACAGCCTATGACAGTAAATTGTCTGTGCAGGTCCACGTCTTCGTGTAGCCCCCATAAAATGGTATTTTGATGATTTTAGCGACATTCGTCATTCGACAGTTTCGCATTTGAATATTGTAATGGCTTATGACAAAAGTTGCCTATGCAGGCCCACGTCGTCGTATAGACCCTAATATAACGGCTACATTCTGAATATTTAAGATTTTAACAGAAATTTTATCGGATTTTTTTTTTTTGAAAATTTCCAAATTCGTTCCAAATGGTGAAGGGTATTCAAAGTTCGGCTCGGCCGAACTTACAGCTTTTTCACTTGTTATCCATGACATTATTATGTTGTGGAGGAAGGAGGTCCGACTTGATTTGCATTGAGTTTTGGCTTATATCCACGCCATAGGTTTTGGAGGGTATATTAAGTTTATCATTTCGTTTGTAGCTCCTCGAAATAAAAATTTCAGAACCCATCCATCTGTTGAAATCACTCTAGCTTCCGAATGAAATGTTGTATGTCGATAAAATGTTACTCGGAATTTAAAACGTCCACCTAGGCCAGATCCACATTTTGTTATAGACCCGGTATCACAGCACCACCAGTTTTATGTTTTTTTCTGGTGTTTTAAGTCATAGTTTTGTAAATTGACTGGAGCATTCTTGCAAAGAACAGTCCACATAGGCCCAAGTTGTAGCCTAGTCCCCATATAGTGGTACCTCCTGATATTCGACATTTTGAAAATTTTAGTCATATTTTTCAACGAAATTGTATCAAAATTGAAAATCTGCTGCTTTGTCTGTCAGATATTTGGCTATAGGGGCCAACGATTTCGTGTATCCCCATATAATTGTGCCTCGCGATATTCGGTATTTAAATCATTTAAAAGGGAAATTTTTAAGGGTTTTTTTTTTTGAAATTGTTCCTTGCTTTTGTTGTCCTCCCAAAAAGCAACAAAGATAAAAAGGTTTATCAATTTTTATTTTGTTGCTATTGTTATCCCCAACCAGCCAATGGCCGAAAACAAAAATAAAATTGTAAACAATAAATAAAACGTCAATGTAAACTACTTGAACCCGCTTCTGGGCAAAGGGAATTACCATGCCGGGGAAAGAGAGGAGGAATCGATGCCAACAAATGTGGATGGACGGCGGCAGCACAGCACGAGACCAAATAAAAACAATAATGGCAACAACAATGCAAATGCATTGAGAATAGACAAACTAATGCCTGCAGATTCTTCACATTGCAAATATCAATAAAAACTGAGGAAGAAGAATGCTGGTCGCCGCTGACGCAGTGACACCCTACTATCCGTACTCTGTATGGGTACTATGCCAGAGAATTCAGAAATTCTTAGCAATACTACAACAATCACATGCTTCTATGAAGGGTTCGTCCGTCTCTAGGTTCCTGTCCCCCCCGATGATGATTGCATTCAAATAAAGAAAATGCACACTCGAAACTATTTAAATTTTCTGATCTGCTGACTATGAACTGTGTGCACTACTGGCTGGCTGGCTGGCTCGGACTATTCCCTTTGTTGTTATTGCATTGAGAAAAAGCAAAAAAAAGCGCGCAGTTTTTTCCCTCAATTTTCTATAGAATTTTTTTGTTTTCTTTGGAATTTTTTTATTTCTTCTTTGAGAAGGAGAAGTAGAATAAAGGAATTTGTTTTAGTTTCTTTAATTATGGCAAATTAAAGACATGATGGACAAACATTTTATATTAGTTGATACTTACACATAGAAAGACATTCAAACCAGCACCCCCACCCAGCCTCTCTCCTCTCCCCCCCACACACATTGCCACATAAATCACTATACATTGTATTT